AACTGTATATATGGTGTTTCGGCTGCACTGCAGTCTATTTCCGGGCTATGTATAGTGTCTAGAAGAGTCTAGAGAAGTGAATGCTGTGTGAAACAACTACACAGCGAATAGACTGAGCATGCACACACACTAATGTGCATGTACAGACTGTATACAAGGTGGCAGGGTGCACTTCGTGTGATTGTGTGGCATAATAAAAGAGAAGGCGTGAGAAACAACTAGTAATCTATAGTAGTATATGAAGAGTGTATAGAAGAGGCAATAGACAGAAAATGAACTATGTAATAAATCAAAAGAAGTAAATGCAGGGTGCCTGTATATGGGTGCAGTGCATACAATACGAATGAATACGCAGTTCTGATAATTTATTCTATAGCAATACACGGTGCATGTACATGGCACTCCTTTCCTGCCCAGGAGAGTGCACGACAGCGCGTGTGTACATATTTCAGGTTGTTGTTTGGGATTATTCGGGTTATAGAACAACTTGTTCAGGCTGGCCAGTGCTCAGGAGATATTTCTCCCTCTGCCTCCGGAAGAGAGGATTGTCCATCAGCTCTTCTGCACTTGCAAGAGAGTAGGGCTCTAACAAGAGCTCCTCTGGCTCGGTCTGTGCGGTTGGAGATGGGCGCACTATCTCAAGTATCGATGAACGGCTTGGTCGATGCGCTTCTTGGGGAGAAGTTACCTAAACACGCATGGAGGACTATGTTCCGGGACTTTCCTGAAACTAAGGCCCAGTGCGTAGACCGTAGCATTAGTATTACTTGCGCGGTGGCACTATATCTCAGTGCCATCAACCCATTAAGGAGTGGCCTTATAAGGCCCTACTTTATAAGCCACGTTCCTCTACCCCTAGCAGTCAAAAACATTAACTTGTTACGGCCGCCCTAGAGGCACGATAAACAGCAGCAGGAGGTGCAGTGCCACCACTGAGGCGCATATTGTCTCCATGTATAATACTAGATATACAATAAACCAATTCTATAATAAATATGCATTAATTTAATGGGATATATGATAATTTGACAGTTATTTATTTCTGATAGTTATATAAAATTATCTACTGGCAAAGAATCTTTCAACACACTCTTTTTCCATTGCATTGCCATGCGCTGAGGGAATAATTATTGAGTGCAGAGGAGGTCCGTATTCCTTATCCTTTAACTCACTTAATGTCCCATATGCGAACCTTTCTGTTTTTTGTCCGAGTCTTTCTATTCCAACAATCTTTATATTGCTTAATTCTGTATTACCACACTTATCTGCAGCTTCTTCTATTTGTGAAATTGCTTCATTAATTGTCATAAACCGGTTATATCTTACATTCTCCTGTCCCATGAGTGTGGCAATTGTTGGCTCGTTTATTTTTATGTCGAGTAGGCATAGTGTGTGTAGACCGTTATTGAAATTTGTCATAATATTCTTTATAAAGTCGTACGGTCTCCAGTTGTCAATGAAAAATGGAATTGAGACAGTTTTACCAAATCCGTATGAATTGAACCCACAGCACCCCATGGCACTCTGTATAGATGCATTGTGCAGTACATTTATACCTATTTTTAGTTCCTGTGCACGAATAAGTAATTCTGTATGTGTGGTGGCAAATAAAGGAGTACCTACTACTAATAATACTATATCTTTATCAAGAGCTTCTTTTATGATCAGTGGATCGCCTCCATCTGATCCTTCTATATCCTCTCTGTACGCTTGTTTGATTTCCCGTCCTATTACACGCTCTATTTCTGTCTCATCTAATACAATGCTTGTATACTTCTCTAGATACACTGCATCTGCTTTTTTTGCTAGCTCAAGTCCTTTTAAAGAAATGTCTGTTGGCTCCAGGCCTAGTCCCAGCAGTGTAAGCATTATAAAAAAATATTAGTGCCGTATTTAACAAATCCAGTTTTTGAATAACTGTCAAATATACTCTTTAATTGAATAAAATCGATTCTACCTTATTTCTTGTATAATCTTATCTGTGAAACTTGTCTTTATTCAATTCTTATCTACTTGTAGAATATACTTACTATTTCTACTTTTACTTTTTGAGTTATTTTGTGTATTATACTAAAATTAGCATATTACATGGCATACTCTTCTTGGTTCTTGTATTATCATTTAAATAAAAGACATTCTTTATGAATTTGTGTCTATACTGCTTCTTTCTAGGCATATTAAGCACTTATCCAGTATTACTCTAAGATCCTTGCCTGTAACATATATTTGGCTGTCTAATAATTCTCTTCTTATTGCCTTTCTATGGTCCCATTCTTTATGTTTTTGTAGTATCACCTTCTCTTCTTCAGTTAGAGGTTCTGACTGTAGATTATATATTCTCTCTAAGTACGGATGGCTCATGTCTTCCCATTCTTCTTGTAAGTTACAAAATGATTTAGATAATGCATCTGCCTGAACCATTGCAGACTTTTCTTGATAGTTTGGTACAAATGAGTAGTCATCCAAAATTTGACTCCATGTGTTAATGCGTATATTCCCTGAGTCAGACAGTGTTTGGCAGTATGTGATTGCTTGATGGTCTGTCATTAAGTCAAACTCTACCCCACGAAGATAGTATTTACACCTTTTAATTGCCCATACAACTGCAAATAGCTCTTTTTCAGCAAATGTATAATTCTTCTTTGACTCTTTCAGTATTGTTGAATAATACCCCACTACGCCTATGTCTTGTTTTAGTACTGCGCCTACCCCGCTGTTTGATGCAACTACTTCCAGTGTAAACCTCTTTGTGTAGTCTGGTACTACTAGCTCTGTCGCTGTAATTAGCTTGGTTTTTGCCTTTAAAAATGCTGCTTGGTGTACTTCTGTCCATTTCCATGGCACATCCTTTCTTGTAAGAGCGTGTAGTGGTTTTAGTATCTCTGATATGTTCCAAAGGAATCTTCGATTACACCCAAGTAACCCTATAAACCGCTTTAACTGCTTCTTGCTCATTGGTACGGAATATTCTTCTATTCCCTGCGATCTAGACTCTATCGGTACAATTGTATTATACCCTATCCTATACCCAAGATATTTTATCTCCTCTACTGCCAGAGATACTTTCTTCCAATTTACTTCCATTCCGTACTCTTTTATTTTCTTTAGTACTTCTGTTATATGCTCTTTGTGGCTGGCCATGTCTTTTGAGTATATAAGTATACTGTCTATGTATACTACACAGCAAACCCTTAATAATTCGCTTAGAATATTCTCTATTACTCTCTGAATAATATGCGGAGCATTTCTAAAGCTCATCGGGAGAACTGCGAATTTGTAGTAGGATTTGTCAACTTTAAATGTTGTTTTTTCCTGGTCCTTTTCATCTAACGGTATACTAAAGAACCCGTCCATTGTGTCTATCCTTGTAAAGTACTTCATTTCTATTATGTCATCAGTAATAGTAGTAATATTTAGAAGGGGATACTTATCCTGTTCTGCTATTTGGTTAAGTCCCCTTAAGTCAAGACAGTCACCTAATTGACCATCGGGTCTCTTTATAATCTGCACAGGAACTAGCCATTCACTCTTCTCAGCTGACACTATAACTCCTTCCCTCATAAACTCACACACTCTCCTCTGTGCTTCTTCTAGTTTCTTTCTGGGTATAATCCTTTTATCCCAAGCACACTCTCCCAGTACAGTATTTAATTGTACTGGCTCTATTTTCCCAGTTACTTCTACAGTGTCAACAGATTGCATAATAAGTTTAAAGTCATTATATGACATACAAGAATCTTTTAGTGCACTCATCCATCCTAAGTCCTTCTTTTTCTCTGTACGGTATGAATTACCATCCTCTCTTCCCCTTCTGTATGTACTGGAATATTCATCTACTCTTTTCTTATGCCCACTTTTATCATTAAATATCATAATCCCATCTTTACGCCGTCTGTGTGATTTTTCATTTTCTTCCTTATACTCCTCCATTGTCCCCTCTTCATCTTTAAATACTTCCTTCTTACTCTCTTTCTTGGTCCATATACGTTCTGATTCTAATTTAACCCTGTCTACATTAAATATTATACTCATTAATTCCTTTCCTATTATGGCCTTACACGAGTTACTCCGTGTAATATAAAATGAACACTTCCCTAGTAATTCCCTTTTATACATAATATTTACAAATACTTCCCTCTCTGGAATAACCATATCTTCAGTCCCAGTATAAGATATACTTCTACTTCTACACTCTGATTCTTTAATAATATACTTCTTTGGAATAGACCTGTACATATCATACCCCATAAAATTAACATACGCACTACTGTCTAATTTACAACTGATCCTTTTTGGTCCAATATATACTATAATATCATCATTACTACTCTCCATCCGTGCCCTATCATCTAATAATTCATCTGATACATCCTTGTTATAACACTCATCTTCTGAATGATTCTTCTTCTTGCAGTAATTACAGTATTTCTTATTAAAAGTGCCCTTCCCTAAATGTATGCGTAAATTATCCTCATTTCTCATATACGTATCTTCATTATCTGACTTATACGTACGCAGTAATTGTTTAATTATATCACACAGTGGCCCATCCCAATTTATAAATTGCCATTTCTCAGGATATAAACCTTCCTTCCCCATTATTTCTCCCCTAAGAGTATCTATTGAATTCTCATTATACACAGCAGAATCAAGCACTTTTTTATATACCCAATTCTCCCAATAACTCATCCTGTGCTTATCACCCCGTGATATATATGGACTTATACTCTTATACGCCTCTATTATCCTTAATAGGCCTGTTCTTACTTCCCCACATAATTCACTTGAATTACCATTTAATTTCTTATCCTCATCCTCTCCCAATAAATATTTATACTTCCTTAGGGCATTCTTCAATATTTCTGGATTCTTTATGCTTCCTGTGGTAATCCCTTTAATAATTAATTTTATACGGCCACTCCATGAAATATCTTCATTTTTATCCTCTTCTGACCATATCCCATCTAATACAGTTATAATACTGTCAGTTGAATCATTCAAGTTAATATTGCTGATTTTAGTGATTATTCGGGTTATACTCATATTTTCATTATTTCTGTGGTTAACTTGTCCATTATTATAATTATCTTCTGTAACTTTCTTATTATATTTTTCTTCTCCCTGATTTACTGGTTCTTTATTTTTTATATCTTTTATTTCTGTTTCTGTGAGTGTTTTTATGTGTTCTGGTTGATTTTCTTCTTTATCCTTGGTTCCTTTATAAACTTCCATCGTAAATTTATACTTTTATTTAATTTATAGTTATAAGTATAATTAATTAAAATTAATAACACACTGTGTAAATAAAAATAACAACTATATACACTATATATAATAAGTAATATATTAATAATAAATAATAAATAATACACTATTAGTAATAAGTAATAAATACCAAATAACACTTTATAGACTATTAGTAATAAGTAATAACCGTATATAATTTATTAAAATATCATTTATATCTTATAATTACTTTATACACTATTGGTAATAAGTAATAAATAATAAGTAATAGGTAATAAGTAATACATTAATAATAAATAACACTTTATACACTATTGGTAATAAGTAATAACCGTATATAATTTATTAAAATATCATTTATATCTTATAATTACTTAATACACTATTGGTAATAAATATTATTTATTACACACAATATCAAAAATATTAGAGAAACTATAATTACTTTTAATGCGTACACGAATAAGTCTTAGCATACTTAAATATTTAAAATTACAATTATATATAAGACATACAGTAATAAATATTATTTATTACACATAGTATACTTATTTATGCATATTCACCTTATTTATTACACATAGTATAATTATTTATGCATTAATAAATTATATAACCAGAGATCAATAAAATTAATTACACATTGCATATAAAATAAAATTAAAAATAAAAATCTCATGAATAGTGCTAGTAGTATAAATAGAGTATTACTAATAAAGGTATACATAATAGTACAGATACTGCTTATAAACAGAATATACAGTAGACTAAGTATGGAAGAAATGAAAGAATTACAAACAATGACAATCAACACTAAAGAAGGTCAAAAAGTAATAATAAATGAACAAGGAACAGGTCACCCCCTGGGAATGTACATCCTTAGAGATATTGGTGCTGCATCTAACATGAGAAATTACTCATCAAAGGTGTCCATGAACTTCGGCATAGAAATAGATAAAACCCACAGTAAAAATCCAATTTATACGTACATAAGGAACTGTCTAGAAGATACTGTATTAATCACACAGAATAGTAAAAGTCCAACAGTCCAGTACTTAGATGACCACTACCAAACATTCTGTAGAATGTTCCCATCTTTAAATGGATACTTCGGCATACGTACGTATAAAAAAGACTCTTTTTATGGGTTTCTTGTTAATAGTAGGGTTAGAAGGAAGGCATCTTATATACTGGCAATATTACAATTATTATCAGAAGGAATGGACATCCCCATTTCATTCACAGGGGATGAATTTAATCAAGTTCTGGTTATTGAGAAAATAGGTTATAAAAATGGGATTGCCATTAATATGAGAATGGATGACCATATAAATAACAGTGATAATGGCACAATATATTATACAGAAGCATACGAAATAATTAATTTCTTCATAAGAAATAGGAATAATAATATTATTAGTAAGAATGCGTACACAGAGCCAAGTACGTATGAAGACTTTAAAAATGGATATTTTTTAAACAGTCCACAATTCCTTATAAAGATGTACGTAAGTGAGTATACTAAGAATGCCAAGGAGTACTATATAATCATGAAAACCATAAAGAATATTCTGGTGTATTATATGGAAAGCCGTGAGGAGTGTAATAATAAACACTTAGCCAGGGACTTATACAATAAGTACTTTATACAGGTGGATGATTCTAGTGATAATAAAGCAGGCCTTATAAGTATTGCAGATGAAATACGGAGTATATTTAATATGAAGGGGTTAAGGCCGATTACATTCCCATTGAAGTATACGCCTATACGGATATTCCCGGATACTTCTGATAATAATACAGTAGATGACTGGCAAGCAATGGATTTATCACAGGAATCAGAGAATATAACTGAAAATCCGAGGGAATTTATAAATTACACGGAAACAGCACTTCTTGCATTATTCTGTCGATTTACGTACGATATTCATACAGACATGCACAAAACAGATAAAATACCAAATCCATCAAAAAAGCTCAAGTGGTTCTTCACTAGGTACAGGAATATGTTTGAAGTAACCACCAGAGACATCCATAATGACTGGAATAAAGTAGTTTCTGATTTAATTGATACTAATATAATGTACATGAGAACTGACAAGCAACAACTCTCATCTGGGTTATTGAACATGCTAAGTGTTATTATGCACATATCAGGAGTGAATGACCAGGAAATAACGAATAAATTTAATGAAGTACAACTACTGCAGAGTAAGTCTAGTAGAAACCTGACTAAAAAGATGAGAAATCAAGTGATTAAACTTATAAATAACGTATTCTCTTTGATTTCCATGGATACAGATATAAATGTATATGTGGAGGATACAGCAGACATGTACATTAGTGATACATCCAAGACAAACAAAGACATATTCATAAGTAAACTGTGCATAGATTATTTTGGAGAAGTGTCCACTGACTCATTTTATATGGCGATTAAGCCCAGTGGTATTATAATTGATACAGTACCAAATACACCACAGGATAATTCAGAATTAAGCAATAACCAGAATTATAATAATATACAAGCAGCCATTGATAACCTGCCTGAGTCCTTTATAAAATCAATTCTATTGCATTATTTAAATAGTGCATGTAGACAGAACTATGACAGTAATTGGGTTAAAGAACAAATTAGTATGTGCAAACCCATTTCTATGGAATTACACCTTATAAACATAAATAGATTATTCCTTATGGGGGATATACGGGATATACCGTATAAACAAGAACTACTGAAAGCGTACAGTACAGATGCCAGTATATGGAAGACTCCAGGTAAGGAATGCATTACTAAATTTATATTAAATGTGTGCAGTAGTTGTTATGTCACAAGTAGACAGGAATTATTTGATATAAGTAAATGTGATGGTGCCCATAATAAATCCATTGAGTAACCCATATCTCCATTATAAAGCGTATACAAGTCATATTCCACCTAATTAAAATTAATTATTACTGTGGTATAAGCTATAATACAATAAAAATCAGAATACGTCCATAATATTATAAGTCAGTGGTAATAAGTAATTAGTCGTATAATAGTACTTATATTGTATGATAAGCCTAGCGTAATAGGATTATTATGAGTTATGCAATATACATATATTGCATACATGAACTAGATTAGATTATAATAGAATATAAAGGGTTAATAGAATACCTGAAGATATTTATACTCCTTAAAGGGTTAATTAAGGTATAAAGGTTAAAACTTAAATAAATGACCAAGTTTAAGATACTTATTCTAAGAAAACAATTACTAGTACGTATAATATTCATTAATATAACCATAATAAGCCAAATTAAACGTAAATGAATATTATATTTAATAATTATACATAACCCGACATAACCCGATATGTATAATCTGGTAAATTTAGTATATTTTACTGCTTATCCTATTTTATTTTTATGGAATTATTGTATTTCTGAAACATTTCCAGTACAATAAAAAACTGTCAAAGGAATTTGGATACACTTTTATTTTTCTTATTTTAAAATAATTCAAGTATAAGTAATAAAAATACACATAAATAAGCATAAATACCATATAATATGCGTAATATATACGTAATACACTGAATATACGCAATATATTTAAAATTACAGTAAAAAACCAATAATTATTAATGTTTTAATTATAAAACCAATTAAAACCACATTAAAACCACTAGAAATTCAACCAGTACAGTTTATTATATGTATAGACCAATAAGTATACTTTATTCATTCTCCGAATATTTTTAGAGTAATTTTCAATTTGAAGAGTCGTTGAAAATACTTAACACAGAAATTTTTGCAAAAGAATATGCGGCAGCTGAAATTTCACGAGCAGAAACTTCTAAAGAAAGTGGATTTGCTGGAGTGGAAGGGAACATCCACACAGAAAGAACAAATGACCACAAGTAAATATTTCATAGAGGACAGAGAGACGTACGTAAAATATAATATTATTGTAGGAAAAATAAGAAGACTAGCACTCGCACTGGCAAAGTTAAATGATAATGAACCAACCAAACAAATAATAACCAGGGAGTTAACGAATAAATTATACACATTGGGTATAATAAACACAAAAACCCTTTTAGAGTGTGCTAAAGTAAGTGTGGGCTCATTCTGTAAAAGAAGACTTTCTACCTTATTACCACGCATAGATATGGTACAGGACATAAAAACAGCAGTTACTTTCATAAAGGATGGACATGTAAAATTAGGTATAGACACAATAACAGATCCATCCTTAATTATAACCAGGGCAATGGAAGACTATATTACATGGAGAGACCAATCAAAAGTAAAGGAAACAATATCAGCATTTTATGAGGATAAATAAACTCTTCAATAATTTTTTTTATGTTTAGATTTGACCTTCCGCATCTGTATAGGAGACTCACAGAAATAACAATTAAGAGGATTATAACAAATCGAGTGAACAATTGGCTAGAAGGCAAGATAACCAGGAGGCTCACTACTGACCAAATTACGTTCGATATAATACGGGGCATTGTTATTATAGAGGGATTAGGGCTAAACAGAGGGTATGTTAGTTCTATTATTGGAGTAAAAGTGGCTGAAGCCAGGATAGACCGAATAATATTCATGAGCAATTGGTACAACACAGATTTATTCACAGACGTAAAGATTTCTGGGGTGGAAATTGCAGTGGGCGGAGTGGAGTGTATATGCAAAATATCTGATCGGTGCTATGCATGCAGGAAAACAAGCACGCCAGAGAATAAAGGCATAATTATGAGAGTGCTTAATAGTGTACTGGGGAGTATAGCAGAAAGGGTTACAGCCAGAATGAAAGTAAAACTAGAAAAAGTAAAAGTATCAGTACGTTTAGAGACTCTATTAAGCGTAGAAATAAAGCAGATGGACTTAATCAAAGAAAATGAGAAGTATAAGGTAAAACTAGAAAAAGAGAATATTTCCATATCAGGCATAAAGACAGCCAGTATAACCATAGAAGTAACCACAAAAGATGACATTCTATCTATACAGGTTAGTTCATCAACTATAAATATTTACAGTAGGGAAGTAAGTGTAAGTGATTTAGTCCAATTAGTGAGTATTATTAAGTATGCAATGGGAGAGGACAAGGAAAATATAAAATATGAAAATAATTCGAGAGTGGGCACTACAAAAAAAACAGAAAAATATATTGAAAAGAGTCCTGTTGTAAAAATAGACATATCCACGGATTTAAGGGTGTGTGATATAAAGGAGATTGACCAGTGCGTATTATCATGCAAGAATTTAAAAATTGGAGTGTATGAGAAAGGAGTAATTAGAGTATTTGGAACATTTTTAATTAGGGAGAGTACCACTGAAATTATTACTTGTAAGAGAGTGAATATCCTGTTGAATGATTCAAGTGATTTTGGAGTGTTTGGCAGGAAGGTTCGGATTTATATTAAAAGTATAAATTTAAATATTCACGAGCGTATAATAATGGGACTGTTTAACTTGTACAAGAAATTATTCAATTTATATGGGAAGGAAGAAGAAAAAAAGAAGAAAAATCAGAATTAAGTATGTTGATAGTGATAGACAGGATAAACATAAAGACAAGCATAGGGAATAGTGTAATAGAAGCAATAGGTACAAAAACATCTGTATCAATAGAGGAGGGCGTTGTATTTTATAGTAATTCAAGTATTACTGTGGCAAATTCACTGGTTAATACTGCTATACCGTATATGAAAAGCAGTATTAGTGTTACGGGTATGTACAAGAAAGAGTTAAAACTAGATTTAGTGAATGTGGATGTACCAGAATCAGTCACATCTGCAGTGATACTTCTAATTCTTGCAGTGAGGGACATTAACAAGTACATTTCAATGAACAAGGACTTATTCGTGCTACCAGAGAGAGAGAAGGCACAGAATATACAGGATATGAACAAAAATCCAATCTTACTTATTTCTGAGTGTAAGCTAACGGGAGTACATAAAGATACGCCATGTATTGTATCCGCACATGATACGGTGCTGTGCACTGATAATATTTTAGTTGATAGGTTAGAGTTAGTATACGGAGAGAGTTCAATATTGAGTGTACGGCCTGTCCAGATACTTATGCATGAAGTAATTGAAATAATATTCACTAATACAGAAGTACTTGTACCGTGCGATGATATTCTTAATTCAATTATGATGGATATAAGAACTGTTTATATGGCAGTGGGTATAGACAAAAAAGCAGAGGGAAATGGGCATAAAGTGAATATACCGATGATAGAAGAGAATGCAGAGGGGTTAAGCACACCAGAGCATATTTTATCAGTGGATGCTAATTTATCTGTTGAGCATATATCAGAAGGAGTAATTCCTAAACAGGAGTATAAAGGGGCACATATGGTAATTACACTCAGAAATACAACAGTACAGATAAATAATGCAGGGACAGTGGCAACTGTATATTCATCAGACATATCGATTAGTATAGCAGAAATAATCCAAGTTAAGGCACTCTCAGCGGATGTTCACTATAAAAATGGACTACTTAAAGCAGTAGGGCATAAGTTAGTTTATAATCCAGATGAAAAGCGTGTTATTGGATCATTTACGTGTGAAGGATCACTTGATGTTGATTTATACGTACTACTTGTGAACAGAATATTCTTTATACTTGATGGGTATACTATTATAATGGACAGTCCAATTTATGGTGTACCAACTATCCCGGGACTGAACGACTTGATTGATCCAGAGATGGAGGAAGAAGAATCAGATAATAGAGATTTAGTGGTTAATGTGGATGTGAGTACCGGTATAACTGTACTAAAGGACACTTATGTTCTCTGTAAAACAGTTGCACAGTTGCATGCACATGTGATAAAAGACCAATTGTACCATGGGGTCATTACAATTACAAATATTAAGGGGTGGAGTGATGGGCTGCTTATATGCAGTGCACCAGAAGTAACGGTTAATTTTGCAAAAATAAGTCGGCTGATTAAGTCGGCTAGTATAGTGATAGAGAAGGCAGAAATAGCAGATACAATCGGGTTGTTCTTGGACATGTTTGGACTGTTTACTAAGGTAAATTTCAATAATGGAGTACCAACTGTCCCCACTATGATCGATATAAAGTGCAAAGTATCCCATCTTATACTACGAACAGATCAAGCACTTATAACGATAAGCAAATTTGCCATGATCAATTCGTACATGCAGCTAGCACTTGCAGTCTCTTTAAATGAGAAGCAGATACTTAAAGACCCACTCAACATAAAAGTCCGGCTGTGTGCGCATGAGATGCCAGAAATGCACATAAGCATTGATCCAATAGAAAGCAAGGTTATAGAAAAAAGTGACATAGAAGGAATGCTTAATGTGTACAACAGGCTAAACCAGGCAAGAATTCAGAAATATCCCATCCCAGCTAACAGTACAATAAGAATAGAGTGCGGACTAATTTCCATGAGCGTACAGCAACCACCAATAAAAACAGAAGTAGTACAGCTTACACTTGCAATTATTCAATTAGAGAGTAAGTGCTCAGTGGACATGAATGGTTCTGCAATGTGCCGAGTATTTGTTAGCATACCAGAAACCCAGGAGTACGAAATAATGTGCGAGACATTCCCGATAAATATTTCGATGCAGACACAAATTAATGTTGAAAAGGAGAATACTGGCTTCTGCAGTCTCCCATTCGCAGAAGAGAAAAAGGAGGAGTCCCTGTTAGTTGCATTTTTGTCACTAGTGGCCAAAGACACCATACGGATTAGACTCAGTAAAAGGATTGTAGAAGCACTGAAGAGAACAAAAAAGACCGTACACCTGACAAACCTGACAAATCAGTCAATTATAGTAAATGACGTAAGCATAAGCCCATTGACATCAACTGTGATAGAGAGTCAAAGAATGCACATTCTCACGGACAAGAATGACATTCTGTTTAAGCAGCACACCCCTGGGTATAAAGAAGCCACGCAGATGTCAAACAAGTTATACATGGGAACATTTAAAGAAGAGACTGCCGTTATACGAGGGGGAACAAATTTTAAGAACATAACAGATACGCCAATTTTCATACGGGTGGGTGAAGAGAAAATACTAGTCCCACCATTCTCAGAGTGTTCACACACTTCAGTCCTAACAGAATTCACAGCAGCAATTGAGAACAGCCAGGAATCATCAGCAAGTGTACTGTTTGATATCCCAGAGAGAAGGGATTATTCAAAGCAGATTCATGTAATTGGTCTGCAAAGGATCGTGCATGGAGAGTCTTATATTACGGTAGCATGCTTATTTGAGGTTGTGAGTAACCTTCCGATACTTCACTATTTATTCCACCACGAATTTATTCTCCGTAACCTTACGCTGGCCACGGTTGGGTTTGAGATAAAAATAAGTGCAAAGTCAAAAACAGAGAAGATTCTTGCAACTGCCCAGTCCGGGGAGATCAAGCAAATATCCGGGAACAAGGAAATAGAAAAAGTTAAAAAAATCAGGCTCAAAATTAATTCAAATGCCGATTTATTTTTATTCCCGTATGAGTCATCATCAAAGGTTACCGTATCAAAAGGGATTATTGCAGCAAAAGAGGCCAAGACTGTTTTAGTGAGTGGGTGCCCAGTGGACATTGGAATAATCCAGGTGACAATATACCCCGTACTTATCGCAATAAACAAGACCCAGGACGATCTCCATCTAAAATCAGGAAGTACTCTGTGCGCGATCCCGTATGACCAGCAAGTGACTGTTATAACATCAAGAGACAAGCACTCAATTGTATTCAATAAGTGTGAGAGTAAAGCATTCAGTTCTAAGATACAGTATAACACGGTGTTCTTGGACATAAAGTCAACCTACCAGATGAACTATCTTATGAACATATACCAAGGAGAGGGATCCAAAGAGAAGATCAAGTATGTGGTTGTAGAGTATGCGAATGTGATTGAGAACAAGACGGGATTAGATTTAACGATAGTCACGGACAGAGAATTTACTTGTGGGACGGGAGAAAGAGTGCCCATGCACTTCCCAAGAAAGAAGTTTAGTAGTTGGATACGGCTGGGGTCACCCAGAGATGATTTTAAATTTGAGTCTGGGTCACCCGCACAGGAAGCATCATCAGACATGACCGATTACATCCTGGATCTAGAAAAGTCTGTTGATGCAAGCTATCTGCCGCTAGAAGGGTTGAAGAAGCACTTTGTCAAACTGAACACTGCATCAAAAGGCATAAATTCTGCGGGTATGCTGTCCTCTGCTATTACAAGCAGGTCGTCCATATACTTAAACAAGAGTACAAGCAGTTTCTCTATGAACACCGTACTAGAACAGCCAGCAGAGGCAGATGAGGGTGAAGAGGCATTCTGTGTAAATAATTCAATTCTTCTGTCGATTACGATACAGACCAATAATTCACAGCGAGTGATCCTGATAGAAAAAGAAGACACCTGGCCGTACCTTATAAAGAATATGTCACAGAAGAAGATGCAGTTCTCACAGAAAGGGTATCCGATTGAGTACATTCTAAAGCCAAATGAGGTACTTCCTTATTACTGGGACAGTTTTAAAGCACAGCCAGCATTTAATGTGGAGATTGATGGCCAGACTCTGAAGATATCTGATTTCTCCGTGGTGACTGCAGGCGGGTTTAAAGCCACACTTACATCAGAGAGGCAGATTAAGGTTTTAACAGTCACTGAGCAAACCCAGGATATAAGCACAGATGCATCAACAACCCAGGGAACACTTATTAGAGCCAGAACGGGAAGGGTCTCTGTTAGTTTAATGGACAGAGAGGAGATTGAATTTGCTGCAGTGCACTTGTTTAATATCCAGCTGGTCTCGCTGTTTTCACCGAATGGGCTGGAGTTCCTCTTTAAAATGGACAGCTTCCAAATGGACAATCAAGAGACAAAGGGGTACTACCACATACCAATGCATACTCCGATTACGTCAGATGTGCTGAGCGTATCTGGATGGATTGTTAATCAGAATGTGATCCGGTATATGAGCATAGTGATTCTTCCCGTGGTCCTGGAGATAGAAGAGGTGTACATGAAAAGGGTAATTGAGCACTTTGTCCCACTTGCAGAGCCAATAGAGAATCCGAAGTACTTTATCATGTGCAGCGTATGCCGGTCCCTTAACTGTACGTGTACGTATGTAGACCATACAACAACACGGTCGGTGTACATGGCACTGGGATACTTCAAAATTGAGGCGGTCAAGTTCAAGTGTTCATTCAGACGGGCCCCGCATGGGTCGATAGTTCCACTTTCATCTGTATTCTGTAACATCACAAGCAGTAAAGTCTCCCTGCCCAGTATAGAATTATTTGATATTTACGCCAGGACGTACGAGGTATACCATATAATTGGAAGAATGTACAAGAGGGGGTTCATTCGGAATATTGTGTCTCTGGTCTTATCAGCAGATGTGGTTGCCAGTCCTGGGGAGTTATTTGACAAACTAGGAGTGGGTGTGCACGACTTAATATACTCACCGTACAGAGCACTGGATAATCCAGCACTTCTGTCGAAGCAGCTGCTTAAAGGAGGGAAGAGTCTGGCAACAAATGTAGTAACTGGCGTGGCAGGGTTTGTTGGGAATGTTATGGGGAAGTTTTCTCAGAAGCTAGCGGATATTTCAATGGATGAAAATTTCGCAGAAGCAATCCGGGAGACCAGCTGCATTTACATTGACGAGCTGGATATGGGACTACCAGGCCATAAGACGCACCTTTCAAAGGCAGGAGAGAAGTTCATGGGATCTGTCATAAGCGGGTTTAAAGGAGTTGTGCACAGTCCAATGCAAGGAAGAAGGTCTAACGGGATTAGTGGCATGGTACAGGGTGTAGGAAAAGGCCTTCTAGGCGCAATAATTAAGCCAATATCAGGTGCCGTGGGTCTAATGCAGGGAATATCTACAAGTATAACAGGCGTCCTGGGGAATGATAAACCCCTTCTTAGAATCCAGCTACCAAGAGCCCCACCCTTAGACAATGTACCAGTGGAGTACGAGGTTGAAAGGAATTCTTATTACAGGGCGTATGTCGTGCTTATCAGAAACGACAGTACAAAGCGAGATGAAAGGTTCATAACAGGCGGGATATGCACGATGGAGTATATCGGATGGTTTGTTTTAATTACAAACATGCGAGTGATCCTGTACAACAAAGAGGAAGTGCAGGAGATACCCGGGATAGTGACTGCACAAGAAAAAGAGAAGCACACAGTAATAACGGTAGACACAATAGAAATATATTTGGAGGGACTACGAGTATTTAGGGAAATAGGTAAATACAGTAGTCTAATGATAGTGAGGCCAATTAAGGACCATTCATAATCCAGGGATATCATAAATCTAGTAAATCGTACAATATTATTCTGTATTTATTAGAGTTGGTTTTGTAATTTTTGGGTTTTTAATATGGAGACGGGGAAGAAAGAGCTTTCACTGGTTAGCAAGTACATAAAAGACAGAATAAAGGAGATAGAGATAAACATGCAGGTAAGAAACATAAAAGAGCCACAGCACGTAAACAACACGTCATTTGAAAGGAAAATGCGAAGGAAGATGAACAAATCAAGGGCAAGGAAGCGGGTTAAGCTAAGCACAGCAGCAACAGAAGTAAACATTAGAGAATTATCATCAGAGGAAGTATTTGATTCTTTAAGTGAAACAGATGAAATATCGAATGAACAAGAATTAGAAGAAGAGGTTGTAAGGAAAGACTGTCCAGCCAAGAGACACAATAAAGAAGAAGAGAGTGTAAGGAATGACTGTCCAGCCAAGAGACACAATAAAGAAGAATTATCTGTTCATAAACCATTACAGGCACTAACAAAAAAAAGAATGAAATGCGGCTGTGTATCTCATGGAAGTGCAAGGAATACTACATTTGTACCTAATACATCCACAACAGCCAGTAGAAGGAAGTCTCTTAATTAAGCAGAATCATTATTATTCTTTATAATAAATAAATTTTGCTATTTATATACAGAATAATAATGGCACTTGCTGGAATTTTATTGAGTAATTGCTGATGTAGTAGAAATGAAGGGGTTATTGAATAATTTAAACCCGATATAACCCGAATTTATACAGGGCGTAAACTGCATTATAATCACTTAAACCATAAAAATATAAACATTTGGAATACTTTATTACAGATTATAAAATGTACTCACCTTTAAAGACTTTTTGTATATCCTCGCCGTACCCAATAAGGAAGTTCTTCTGTTGTACTAATCCGTTATATATTGAAGATAATTTAGAGTGGTGCACCGATTCTATTTCAATTATTTCCTTTTCTAAATTTTTGATGTCTTCGTTATTTCTGTGTATTAATTGCTGTGCCTGCTCTCTTTGCTCAGATATTTTTATGTGCTTTGCCCGGAGTGCTTCAAATTCTTTTTTTAAGCCGTCCATGCGAATAGAATCCTCTGTTGTTAAATTTGCCATTTTATCTACGATATAACTGATTTTCTTTTCCAATAACAGTTTCTTAGAGAATTTTGATTTGTTCTCTATCTCAAGTGAGCCATTCTCGTTCTGAAGCCTTTTCAGCTGAACTTCTGTCTCGTAATATTTATTGCTGTACTCCCCCACTAAAGAAACCACGCACATGAGTGACTTTAAATCCTCAGTTACCCTCTGAAACATGGCTATAGTATTATGCAGAATTGATATTCTCTTCTCATACTCCTTTAATATTTCTGTTTCATCTGATAGCTGACTCTTCATGGCAATTAATAATTCTTTTAATTGCTCTGGATTCTTCACTATTTTTGCTTGTAGCTTTGTTATCTCCTGGGTTATATTCATTATCTCACACTTCTCTGTGCTGATGCACTCGTTTAACCTCTCCTGCTCTTTAGATATTTCTTCTGTTTCAATTGCCGTGGCCTGCTGTGTCCTGTGATAATTTATTATCTCTGATTCTTTCTCTGAAATTTCTTTCATTATGCTTTTTATCTGCCTGAGTGACTCACCCCGCTCCTGCCGCTTCTGTGATAATAGGCTTTCGCTTTTTTCAATATATTTTTCTGTCTCTTCTATTGTTATTTCAATTTCTTCCCTTTTCCTGTATATATTAGTCAGTAAATGCCGCTTACTCTCTTTAAATAACCCAAAGTTAACTATCCCGCTTAATATCCGTATGGTCCTGCTGGCTTCTGGCTTTATAATATCCGACATAAGAAACGGACCAATCCCTATTCTTTCTAAGAATTTCTTCATGTGCATATATATTAGAACGAGTGAGACAGACTCATCAACACTCTCGGGTATTCTTTGCTCTAGAAATATGCCTAAAATACCTTCGTAGAGTCTTGTGATGTATCCTGTGTTGGGGTTGGTTATATCTGCTGCTAATATATTAAAACCACTCTCTGACAGGCATTCTACTATCTCCTTAACAGGCATGTTTGGCATGGAGTACGTCTGTGGGTGTGCTTTCATTTTCGTAATGAAATTTTTAATTATTAAGAAATGGCTCTACCAGGAGAATACGGCTACACACCAAGACTTATAAGACCATATGTAAATAGCACTGCCGCATGTATTGTAGAGTATATAGCGTATAATCACGTACTGCTGCGTATTATAGCAATAGATGGCATAAAATCAATAGAAGTACCAGCAGTCATCCACAGAGAAGATGCACAGTATGGGATTAAAGACGAGACAAAATTAAATGAACTATTTTCACCAGGCGATACAGTGCACGGCAGAGTGCTTTCACTTGGTGAGTCAGGTAATGTAGTTATATCCACTGCGGATACAGCCCATGGTGTAGTAAAAGCAAAGGATTATGAGACACTGCAGGATATAAGGATGTCTAAGAATAAGTTTATACACAATGGTAAGGAATTAAACAGAAAGAATGCCGTACTATAGAATAATTAACAGTAATCATAAGATAATATTAGTATATTCTGTGATTTAGACTATTTAAAGTTATTACAACAGACAATTCGGGTTGTATCGGGACATTCCATATAAATATCCATTTATTACATATTTAACAGTAAACCAGTCAAAGTACCAGTTGTACCAGCACTAATTAAAATTTCCTTTTAGTAGAACAGAAGTTCATTTTAGAGTATAAAGAATATTTAAATAATAATAAAAAGTCAAAAAATTAGAACCAGCTGGCTATTACACTATAAATAAATATAAAGCAATTAAAAATCAGTAACTGGAAATTTATTCTGTGGTAAAATAATCAAGCGTAGACAATTCCCGTATAAAGATACTTATTGCTGTAGAATACCTTTATGCTTTTGCTTAACGGTTCGTTGTTTATAAACATAATACCCAACACCAACGAGTACAGCACCAAATACCAGCCAAGTCATTTTCTGCCGGGTCTTTGGTATTTCATCAGCTGCGGGGATTCTTCTGGGGCGGTGCATCTTAAAAACGGATATGCTCTTTATGTTTATGTCTCCATCTGAATCTGCCACCTGCCCAGATATGGTTAGACGTGTTCCATCATCAAATGACACTCTTCTCATCTCTTCAATTAGTTTTACTTCTTTGTCTCTTCCACCGTACATAACTGAGAGTACTCCATTCACAAACTTAAGACTAATCATGCAGTCCTGCACTACATCCACCTTCTTAGAGAAGTGCACAACGGGTGCACCGCCATATGCAGTGGCTATGCCTATCATGGGATACTTATCAGTGAGCGTGTTCTCAGACATAGCCATAAATACAAGAAGACCATTGAACTGCGGGCTTCCTCCAAAGAGTGTGCCAGAGTTAAAGTCTTTTGTAAACCATACGCCCATGCCCTGGGCGCCTCTTTTTACTGACATGTGTATGTCCACCTTCCAGTTGTCCATGGCAATGGGATGCTTTGCAGTGACACTTCCGTATGAATTATCTGTGCTCTGCGTCAAGTGCACACCTGCTTCATTCCCCATCGACACAATATTGCACCCGCCCTGCATGGTACCAAATACTAACCTGCCCGTGATTCTATCAAGGTACGGCCTGTACATACTTGCCTTGCTTTTATATACAGGCTGCATACTATCCGCGGCCAAAACTAAGGCACTGCTCACCAGCAGTAACAAATACGTAAATTTCATTCAGATGCAAAAATACTTTGTATAAATTAATTTAAAGCACGGTTTATTCTCTGACGTAAATGGAAGGATTGGCTTGTTTATGGAGTAAAGACAACAATCTTTCTTCTGAGGGGATATCTGTTCTGTCTGTATCTCTCAAGCATTTCCTTTGGAATGTTTACTCTCTGGGCCTTTGGAAGCTTCTTTGTGAAGAACTTTGGAAGTGGCTTGTTCTCTCTCTCGCACTCTTCCTTGATCTCCTGCCTCTTCTTCTCTGTTAAGACACCAAGACATCTTGCAATGTCTTTCTTTGTGGTGATCCACTCGGCAGTGTTTTTGTACTCCTCTCCTTTGACATTGTTTCTCATTCTTAAGACTTGCATCTTTTTGTCTGAGAGTGTGCCCTCCACCTCGGCGTATGTCATTGCTCTTAACTGGTTTGTAAATTCACTTTTACCCATTGCAGGGGATAAAAATATTTGCGAAAATAATATTTAGAATCTTGAAAGAAAAAATACGCCGTTACCAAACGGAAATAAGTGCCAGTTATAATTAATAACAGCGAATAAATATCTGTGTGCACTGCCCGAACATGCAATAATTAATTAGATAAGGCATAGATTATCACTAGAGTGGCTCATTTGAGAGTATTTATTTATGGAGTGCTTTTTTGATTTCTTCAAAGTGTGCGGGTGCTTTGGGAGAGTCATCGACCAAGTCTGGCATTATCTCTTCTATATATTCAAACACTTCTTCTTTCTTCTGTGGGGACAGTGGAACTAATTTAGTCCATTCTTTGACCAGTCCCATTCCGTTCTCTAAGGTATCTCCGTATCCCTCAATGGTTATTTTAATAAGCGCCGTGAAGAATATTGCACTTAAGCTGTTGTACTCTACTGATAGTCTCTTTGCATGTTCTGCTGGTGCAAACGTCTTGTTGCTGCACTTTAGTGTAGAAACTGCATCGGACTCCATCTTTCTGTACTCATCGTCGTGCAATTCAATGAACTCTGATACTTTCTGGGTCTTAGAAATACTTTCCTTGCGGACAGACTTTTCTTTAACGAACTTCTTCTTTTCTTTTGTTTTGCTGCTCTTCCACCCGTCGTCCTCATCCTCGGAGTCTTTTCTGGAATCCTTTGCCACCCAGCTGTGCTTTCTTAGGTCAATTATCTCCTCAACCATGAATTTGTACCGAACGCTTAAGTTTGCAGATGACTCTTTAAGCCATGTAATGTATGAGTCCATGTACTCCTTGGCAATTGGAACATCCAGCCGACTTCCTGCGTGCTTTAGAATGTAGCAGACAATTTCAACGTTTTCTGGAGTTCTATCCTCCATTATGAAGAATATCGACGAGTGCATAGTGCTGTCCTTAAGTACCAGCTGTAAGTAAAGCTCCACTGCAAATCTAGCAATAGTAAGTGCTCTCTTCTTTATGCTGATTCTTTCGTACTCCTTTTCCTTGTTGCTGCTGATTTCCATAACACGCTTGGCAAGCTCCTCTGCTGTCATACTTACCATCTTGTGCTCCACCTGGTCTGTGGCCCAAGTTCTCTTGACCATGAACTCCTGCTGTGACAGCTTTATGATGGTGCGTCGGAAGACTGTCTTGTACCCTGTAGGAGAGTTCTCAACAAATGGTTCTTCAGTCTGTGCTCTAAACCGAACCTCAAGCCGCTCAACCAGTGCAGCATAAACACCCGTGTACGCATGCTCAACCATCGCCCGGTTAAAGAACGCCTTTGCAAGCTCCTCCATCGCCTCAACAGTTGGCACTTTAATGGAAAGTATTCTCTTGGCCACCTCATCAATGTTGTTCTGGCAGACCTGGTTCAGTGCAAGGTTGAACTCTGCAATGTACGGCTCAATGCTCTCAAACACAGTCACAGGCAAAGCAGTCTTTCGCGCATCCTTGAACCCCGATGTCTTAAACATCTTAAAGTCCTTCCTCTTCTTCCCAGCCCCAATTGACTTGGCAAGTATGTTTTTGTCTATTATACTTGGCATTCCTTCAGAGCGGCTCTTCAGTGCCCAAAGCTGTTCCTTTGAGTATATAATGGGAAGAGAAGTGATTGTGGCTCCGTCCAGAGACTTGTAGAAGCTGTCCGGGCTGCTTACTGCTTTGTCAACAGCTGCAAAAGAGATCGGCTCGGCCTTCTTTGTACTTGCAGTGGCTGCAATTGTCTGCGGAGTGGTCTCTGCCCTTTCCTGTAAATGTATCTTTTCTGACACAGTCACTGCGGCACTCTCTGGCTTATTGGCACCAGCAGAAGAAATAGTCTTTGTTCCTGCAGAAGGTGCTGCTTCAGCCTTTTTATACGGCTCTTCCTTTGGCGTGCGGCTGGCAGAGTCTGAAGATATTTTCATTTTGCCAATACCTTTTGCAAGCTTGTCCTGTCTAAAAACACCCTCGCCCTTTTCCTTGAATGTCTTCTCTGGCTTTTCTATAGTAAGAGTTGGTCCCTGCGCTGCTGGTGCAGTGGCCTTGCCTAAAGTAGATACTTTTCGTGCAGTACGGAATGCCGGTGCTTTTGCTGGTGACTTCTTTTCGGGGACTTTGTTGAATATAGTATTCAGCAGATTTTTTGATTTCTTTCTGGTCCAAATATTTACGTCAGGTCCAGTAGGTTCCTCATCTTCCTCCTCCTCTTCTGAGTCTTCCTTAACAGGCTCAACAGGCTTCTCAGCCACCGTACTCAATGGCTTTTCAGGTGCTGAAACTTCTGGCTGTGCAGTCTCGGCTTTAGAAGACTCCTCAGAGCGTACATCTAGTGCTGCTGCAGCTTCCATGGCTTTCTTCTTCCTCTCCTCTTCCAGATGCCTGTCCAGCTGCATCTTCATCTCCTCAAGTGGGCTCAGCTTAGGCTTTTCTGGAACAGGTGCAACTGGCTCTACAACCTCTGCCTTTTCACCAGACAAAGCTTCTTCTTTTACAGACTCGCTCTCCACTGCCTTAGTAGGCTCAGAAATAGTCTCCTCCTTTTCACTTTTTTCTGGCTCAGCACTCTCCACGTTGGGTTCCTCTGAGACAGCAGCGGTGCCAGATGCACTCTGGTACTTCTTTAGTTCCTCCTGAATAAGTTGCGCAGTTATTTGCGACCCATCCTGAAGCACTAACTGAAACCCTTTGTTCTCTCGCTTTGGTAGGCCAGAAATCAAAATGTCTTCCTTGTCGGTGGCACTTTCCTCTCGCTTCTTTTTCTTCTTTTTATCTATTTCCGCTTTCTTTGTATCTGTACGAAACTGTGATTTATACGCGGGCTTCTTGTTCTCATACGAATGGTCTTTTCGGGCAGCATTGTACGGCTTTTCTGAATATCTTTCGTTATGCATAACAGCAGATCTTTGCTCTTCACTATCCATACTGGGGATGAGAAAAAACTAAAATAAAACAAATAAGTAGCCAATTGCCTCTTAAAACACTTTGTTTGAGACTCGTTGCAATAACACACAAACACATGAAATATTCAATAATTGGCCCATCCTATAGCAGAACACTGTGACTGGTCTTAATTTTATGCAATCACTGTGATTAAAATATTTTATCACGGAAATATTCCAATCAGAAATATTTAAATATTATCCATGGCGTACTACTGGCTAATAATTAAAAACACTTAAAACGGGTTATATCGGGTTATTGCATAAATAGTAAAGTGCACTGGTCTGTTCAGATATAATTACGGGCATATCACGAGAGTACAAAAAAATGTTTATTTCTTATTCATTGCTTTGGGTTATTGGCTGCTGTTACGGCCTTTCTTCTGTTTATAAAGAGAAGTGCCTGTGGGATGGTCATCCAGCCAAATATAACTGATGCACCCACTGTAAATAGTGCTATTATATTTGAAAGGTTCTTCTTAATGAACAGTCGTGTCATTAGCACACCGTATAAAAGATACGAATTCTCTTCTCTCTCGTACATTTGCATGTAGAAGGTCTGTGCGAGTGCATAGTTTCTTTTCACTCCATAGCCCATTTCGTACATCCACCCTGTGAGATAGTCGCCCTCTGCACTTTCCATGAGGGACGATGAATAATACCTGGAGAATGCCTTGGTAAGGTCCTTCTTCACTCCTGTTCCGTAGAAGTATGCATCTCCTAATTCTATTGCTGCATTGCTGTCACTTGACCTTGCCAGCCTTGTATTCAGCAATATGTACAGCTTTGTGGCATTCTTTATCTTGTCGTTATTATTGGTGTTCACTGATTTTGCATTTTCTATTTTTTCTGTGTTCACATCGGGCACGGCTTCTTCATTTACTGATTCTTTTTTTGTTTCAGTACTCTTGGATTCTTTAGAAGCATTCTCTTTTTGTGTCTCTCCTGCCTGGGTGTTCAGAATTTCTTCAATATCTTTCGCATTTTTGTCTTGTATTTTAATTTCAACTTCTGCTGGTTCTGAGTCAGATTCTTTCTTGTCTTTCCATAGACTGGTGTACTTATATAGTCTTTGGATTAAACCTGGCTTGATTACTCGGTGTTTCAAGATATACTGCGCATTCTCATATCCTGTTTTAGGGCAAAGATCCCCTATTAGCAGTGACATATAAAATGCCTCTGCATTCCTGTGGTCTCTGTACATCTCGATTGCATTCTTTTCTAGTGCCACTACTTGGTCATGGTATGAAGCGATGCTTTTATATTGTGAGACAGTTGTTCTTTTTATGTCTCCCTTTAGTCGCTCCTTCTCTGCATATGTATACACTGCAGGCAAGTACCCATCGTGCTTGGCTGCCTTCATCAGATGTATCTCACCAACAAACTTATTCGCATTTTCGTATAACTTGTACAGATTATAGTCTGCCTCCTGCGATCCAATTGCAGATGCTTTCTCTAAATACAGCTTGCTTTCAAACACATTCCCATCCTCTGCATACAGCATTCCTAAACCATTCAAGCAATCTGCATCATTCTTCTTTGCCCCTTCTGAGAAGTAGTGCCGAGCAGTTATCTTGCTTGGCTTCACACCCCATCCATAGTAGTACATATTTCCAAGTATCCCCATAGCATCTGCACTCCCCGTCCGTGCATGCTCCTTAAGAAAGTCAATGTGCTGCTCTGCATCAATATACCCCATTTTTATCAATGAAAGCAGATTTTCATTCGCAGTTGCACTTCCCGTGCTCTTCAGCGTTTTTATAAATTGGATTATCTTTGCATTCTCTCCCTGCTTGTGTAGCCTAGAAAGCTTCCACTTGGTAAACAGCGTAATCTTCTTCTTGAAAAACCCATTAAACACTTCCTCTGCCACTGGCCTATAATATTTCACCATCTCTGCTTCTGTCCCAATTATGTTGTGCTTCCTGTACATTTTGCTCGCATACACTAGATACGCCAGATTTTTAGTGCTGCACGTAGAGTACAATGACTTCCACAGTGACTCAACCCCTGCTTTAATATCTAAGTCCACATACGTATATATAAACCACGCATAAAAGTGCTTGCATGGCCCTTTTGCTGCATCTATATTGCGCTTTGCTTGTTCTATGTCTGTTTTAATGAATATACTATCAAATATCTTATTGCATTCATATGGACATGAAGAATTCTCTTGTTTTACATCTTGTTTCTCCTCTGCATGCCCAAATAGCATCCCTGCACATAACACAAGGCCTACAAGCACACGCTTCCACATTAAATAAAAAAGTATTTGTTGTTAAATTATTTAATCCGTCTTAGAGAATAATTAAAAGAGCCCTCCCCAGATGAATTAGTGCCATACCCCAGGAACAACCTAAAAATCAAAATTTGATATTTCATGCCGTACAGCCTGAAATAATTATAGTAAACAATCCGTGCCCTGCTGAATTTTAATGCAAGTGCTTGGATTTCTGTTAATATCTGAATGCATTGGCCATGCACTATTTGGCTATTAGAAGGCATTTACTGGCTTAGTATAATTCATATTCTGTTTATTATTTTATTATAGCAGTCCTGCTATGCTGGTGACTATCTCGTGCATGACCTCTTTATCCATGTCTAGTGCACCTGCAAGTAGAAGGAGTGCCTTTGCTAGGTCTTGGTTTTCAATACGAGAGTTGGCTCCTAGTCGTTGTGCTGTAATTACTAGCGCGGTGGGGATTACTCGTTTAATGCGTGGTGCTAGGTTCTTTATTTCCTGTGTCTTTCTAAGAACATCTGCTGCATTGTTTCCTGGAACTAGTCCTGTTCTTCGTATGCGGTTTACTGCACCTTCCTGTGATCCACCGATCAGAAGAATATCCCATAGGAAGTTAGTCAGTTCATCATTGAAGTGCTCCACAATACTGCCCAGACCCTCCTGCTCGTACTCCTTTGCCTCTATCTTGTCCACGAGAATAGAAGTAAGAATGTCCAGTGCCCTTTCATCACTGCCTGCATAAGATATCTTCAAGGCCTTCAATAAATCTCCACTGTGTATATAATACTCTGCTACTCTCTGCACTACGCCCTGCCTGGATACATCGATGTACTCGAGTATTGTGGCAGCCTGTCTTCTTCCAGTTGCATCGACCTCCCCTAGAACTGTGTAATCTTCTGAAGCAATGAATACCTCTGCAACTAAATCCTCTAGCCACTCTGCAGTAATAAAAGGCGATGCTAAATTGACCACACACAGCTTCTCTTCTGCTGATGCAAAGAACGCAGTGACTCCCTGCACTCCCTTGATAAATATATCCGTGCACTGTGCTGCCTCTGTGTCTGCCAATTCTCTTTTAATGGGATACGCAAAGGGAAACTCCTCTCGCATCTTCTGCATAATAGCATACGATATAAATATCATCTCTGCTGCATTAAACGCACTGTCCTGCAGAATAATCATAGCTTCCTTCCACTGCCCTAGCATAAGAGATGCCTGCAGCAATTTAGGCGCTGTAACAGAACCTTCTAGCATTTTAAATATCTCCAAATACGTATTCGCACGCTTTTTTATACGGCATGCTGAAATTGTCTTTATAACAGTAATGTGGTACCACAAGAAGTCCTCTATTGTTGTAATAACCGACTGTACACACTCAGTGCTTCCCGTGAATAGCCGATAAAATAATAATTTAAATGGATCATCCTCACTCGTGGGAACTTCCTCCCAGTCCATTCCGTGCTTCTTCTCCTCAGAAATAAATCCCATGGCATGCATCCACGACATAATGGAAGAGTAGAAGTTATGCGAGATTATTAAAAAGAAGTTCTTGTTTTGCTCTACGTACTGTGCAGCCTCTGCGTACATCCCTGCTCTAACATACTGGTACAGCTCTGCATACATGGCTTGATTCTCATACATCTCTATTTTGTACATCCCACTGCCATACTTCATGCGTGTAAAGAGCTTAACGGCCTGTGCTGTTCTCTCTCTGATTGCCCGTGTATAATGGATATACGCCAGAAACTCGTGCGGAGTCTGCGCTGAGGTTGCAAATAAGTACGCGTCATACAGCATAGGAGATGAAAAAAGATTCTGTCCAATAGAGTCTCCCCTCTTCAATGACTTGCACCCTTCAATTATCACATACGTGTGCTCATCTTTTCGTACTTTTAATTGCTCTCTCCTCGGTGCAGTCAGCAGCCTTTTCTCCTCCTTCACAAAATACGCCTTTAAATCACTCTCAAACTCCTCCAGCTCCTGCTTCACTTGGTTTTCTCCAAATTGAATTAGCTTTTTCTCAAATATCCCGTCTAAATACGCCTCTATGGTTATGTTTTCACTTTCCGTCCTGTGCGCCATAACCTCCCCTAATTCTTCTATTCTCTTCTCTAATTCAGGGTGGTAGCTGTGAATATCTGACACTTTATTTGTTAAAGCCAATTCTACCTCTATAAGTGAAATAGAATACGTTCTGACCAAAGACTCGCTGTACTCAGAAACCTTCTGCATGAGAAAAAAATCGCAAAGCACTAAAAATAATCCAATCCATTATTTTACAAAAATGCATAAAACCCCATTTCATGGCAGTATTCATTATAACACAGTGTAAACCACTCTAAATCACACAAAGTACAACAGTATAATATACAGCATAACCCGATATAACCCGAAAATTCAAAATTTAAATTATAAAGATATTTTCTTTATTATAGGCATAATATATATTATGAACATAAAAACAAGAGGGATATTTGACTACACAGGAAATAGGTCTATAATTATTGTTGTAAAGGGAAAGCACAAAGGTGCACGTGCTTATATACAAATGACAATTGGTTCAGATTATATTCCGTATGTAAGGATATTTAGCATACTACATCCAGCACAGAGTGCACTTTATGATTCTTTTGGTGAAAGAGTAGGGACTGAATTAATTGAAATTTACAAAGCACAGATAACAACTATCACATTGGACAGGGAGAGACTGGAACTGGCCCTTCCAAGCATTACTTGTCAATTTGTAAGTCCCGTGGATTTTACTATGTGGGTTAGTCATTTACACTGGGCAATACACGCCCTAAGAAAACTGTCTTATAATAATGCTCATATATGGCTGAGTTGTAGTAATACTTCAATAGATGATGAATTCTTTGTGTTTGGGAAGTATTTTACTCCAAGAGACTGGAAGGTATCTCTTCAGATAAATAATCGAATGTCATCCACATCTGACATGGGCCACTATGACATATATAGCCGTACAGTCCCACAGCCAAGTATAAAACAGCACTGCATGGGAAGAGAAGAACTTAATAAGCAGTACTACTTACAGAATAATTGGAATAATCCAGATATAATGAAGTACGTAGAAGAGATGTCCCCAGCAGATGAGAATATGCCATTCCATGTACACGTGTTTGGTAAGTATTATAAACTCCTCTGTGGTACATTAAATAGCTCACGCATATGCACGGACTGGGCAACTAACCCGTACTGCTGCTGCCAGTACAAGTACTACGACGGTAATCAAGTTCTCTGTGAAATGCCCCTATCTACTACGGTTAATTCGTATAGATCCCATAAAAAAGAAATTCTCTCTGAGATATACATGAAAAATTCTGGTGCTCTGCACCGGTACTGCACGGGGTATTTAAGGGCATTTCACAGCGTAGAGGAAAGAATGAAATTTTATTTTGGGTTCATTATAAAAAATGAAAATATAATAAATATTGTAATCCCGAATAAAACAGAAAGGAGCAGATTCACAGAGCAGTGCATATTTGAAGAAATATTGAAATATTCAGTTGATGCATTTGGGATTAAAATCAGTGAAATTCATTCTGATGACTATTTAAATATTCCTGCGGTAAGATCTGTATTAGACTCAGAATCAGATGGATTTTTAGGGTTTAATGAACTATTCAAGTACTCCCAGGAAGATATTGATAAAAGATGGATACCCACTGATATACCAACTGTATACATTATGATAACTAATGGTGTATATCTAGTAGAGTGCGTGTGTGGGATTGCAAATGATCCTTCTTTACTCTCATATACGTATACATCACAGCTTCTAAAGAGTTCATTCCATTCAGAGACCAGTACATCCATTTGTTATAATGAATACATTGATGGGTACATTTTAAACCAAATATCTGCGAGTAGTGGGGTTCTTGCTACTAGGCACTCTTCCAGTAGTGATGTATTAAAACAAGTTTCTGCTGACTCTTTACTTGTTACTGATAGTATGTACAATATGCTCACAGATAAAAAAACAGACTTTCTTGTGAGTGGATTACATAGTTATACGTATACAATGTCCTTAGTCCTAGTAGAGGGGTACCACCTGCTCAGTGTATTAGTTAGTATAATTCAATCCCAAAAAGATAATGAATTTCACTTCTTTACCATACGGTGTGCACTAGCAGCTATAACACAGTTTAAGCCATTTCTTTATAATTTATTCGGGAATGGTGCTGTCTTTTTCGATCTTGCTTCTAAGCATGGGAAGACTCCTGAAGATGCAGAGTTTAGTGAGTTATACCTCGATCGGTATAAACACTTAATAGATGCACTGGATATATTACTACCTGCATACACTGAAATATGTTCTGTCATGATTTCTCCCAGAAATGGTCTAAAACACTTAGGCAGAATGCTTAGATATGAATACAGGCTTAGACAGTCACCGTGCTGGACTAGATTGATTATGCTGTACACTGGCATAGCCAGGCATAAGAATATCATGTTTACACCCAAATTTGTTGCTTTACACATTTTATTCTTGAACACTCTGCTTATGGAGGATATAAGAGTTGTTGGTGAGTACACCAAAGAAATGCCATCTATCCTGTATAATCCATCTTTAGAAGAAGAACTTGCAGAATTAATGTATACGAGTAATGACCAAGAAACACTTTCAAGTATGCCCAAGGAAGTATATTCTGTCCGCATCGATGGATCGAATTATCCCAGTTATTGGAATGATCTGTCTTTTGACAGTTATTCATTCGCGTGTAGAAAAATCAAAAAAGAGTGTGCAAATGGAATTAAAACGGCCATTATTAAGGAAAGCATTACTAAATTCCTTAGTTTCTACAAAATCCATTATTATAATATAGCACCACTATCAATGCGTCATATACTAAACAGTGGTGCTATCCTGCGAATGATTATTATTATGATTAACAATAACCCGAATACAGCACCACACAGCGTATCCCTAGAAAATAACATTATTGTAGCATATTTCAGCAGAAGAGTGCCCACACTAAAAGACCTTCTACAGACAAATAATGCAGTCAGGCATATACTAAGCTTTTTTATGCTTTTCTATTTAAATAAGCACCCGTGTGTCATTGACTACGCCAGGTGTTTAACCACCCCACTTAGAATAGTCCATGCTTTAAACCAGAGAATACTCAGTGATCCCGTGTACACCATAGGAAATAACTGTAAGAGTGAAGATATCTGCTGGTTATTGAAGAAAAGACTCCCTTTCTCCAACACAGTCTATAACTACTTCATGACTGAAGTGGTAATGCATGCGAGTAAACTTGATTCAGTTGATGAAATAATCTTCCCAGGCAGTTCGCATGTGCTAAATCTAGAAACATACATTATAAAATGGGCTGAGTATATGGGCAGTCTACCATCTGCTATAACTGATAAAAATGTACTCCTTTCTGTTCTTAAGTACTATTATCCATCTAGATTTACTTCATAACCCATAATTACAATAAATTATTTTTCTGAAAGTGAAGATGGCTCATTAGGCTTATACTCTTTATTCATTTGATAGAGATTAAAATATTTCCTTAAATATAGAAATCTTAATTTTTAATTTTTAAATTTATTTTTAAAACCTTCTCATATAAAGAGCACAGAACTTATAAATGAATGGTTTAAAAATAAATTTAAAATTTCAAACGATAAAACAGTAAATTACAAGCTATAACCAGAATAATTTATTATAATAATATTATAACTAGAAGAAATAGACTAAGTCACACACAAACCAAAATAAAATTTTAATTATTAATACTGTTTCTGTGCATAATATATAGCAATGTAATTATATTTTACACATAGTGTATAAAATAATATTCCAATTCATATATTATAACACATTATGTAATATATAATAGAAAAATAATTTACAAGATATAATACACATTATATAATATATTCTATAATTTATTTATGAGTAATAATTCTTGTACTGTGAAATATTATAATATCTTACTCATTATATCATAAATATTAGCAATATAACCCGAATAACCCTAAATTATTTATCTAACTTATGCTGGATTATTACTATTTTGGACTTTATCATATAATTGTTCTTCTAGTGGAAGTAGTTTTACATCTGTGAATGTATCATAAATATGGTTTACTGTATGGACTAGGCCATATAGTGCGCTGAGTATAAAGAAGTACACAAATGATATACTAAACCATATAAACCAGAATGAAAGAAATAATAAGCATAGCACTCTCATATTACTAAGGTTAGAAATACCATAACTGCTTACTTTAGAATATCCTGTATATATCTCTATTCCGATAAGGAAGTACGACACACAGAACATACCAAAAATTAAAAATGGCCTAATCACAGAGTGGTCACTGTCTACTGAGAAAATATCTGCTATTTTACCAGTCATTAGTAAAACAGAAGCACACAAGTACAGAATCAGTACAGATATAGTCACAGCTATTATAATAGGGAATACAGGAAAAGAAATATTATAGTATGCATGCTGAATTGTACTTATTATAACCGTTACTATAGCAAATAAGTATATCGCTAAAAACACAACTATTAATGTATCGTATATAACAGAAATAGCATTAAATATCTTTGATTTAGTTGTTCTTATGGGAACAAATTCATTTATATTCTGTTTCTTTTGAATCTTTTGATTATGCATTATAAACAGTGACTTACACCCACTCGCGGTTTTCCTGATTATGGGTATAGCTAGTGTTATAATAATAAGAATACCAAACCCCATAACTAATGATATAAGTATAGACATAATATTATCCTTAACAGAAACATCATCACCCCACGTGAATAATTCTGTCTGTGCTTTGTTTAGATGATAACCCACTGTATATATACACTCAAAAAATAGAGAGTGCTTTTTTAAATCGGCAGTGCCTTGCAGTAATACAGTATACATAAATAAAAGCCCATATAAATTTTTATAATTTATATAAATATTCCTAATAAAAAAATGAAAATAATTATAATCACTGCAGGATATTTATTGCTTCTAGTTGTACTTTGGGTTATACTCGCTTAATCTTGAATGTTTCTATGAACTTCTCTTTTATACTGGAAACTATCTTTTCCAAGCAGACTAGAGCCTGTGATAGATGTACTGGCAGAGTACTGCCTGTTTCTTTAGTGGCATACTTAAGCCCATCTGCTGGCTGGGGAAGTCTTCTTCTTATGGTTTCACTGATCATACGGTGTGCTTGGCTTAGTGGCAATACAACAGTCTTTCCATCTTTTAGATTACGAACAGATAATTGTTTTCTTTGAGCTTCTTTCTTTCCTACTATTATTATATATGAGTACCTTACTTTTTCTGCATTGAGTATTTTCTTGTTTAGTGTGCACTCAGATAGGTCCACAGAGACTTCCATTGCATGCAGTTCCTGCTTAACCTCATTTGCATACTCTGCTTCATCACTTGTGATGGGAATAATCATTACTTGGTTTGGGTTTAGCCAGGGAGGCAGGCGGCCTTTGTAGTGCTCCAGAAGTATTCCGGTCATTCTCTCCACACTTCCCAATATAGCACGGTGTATCATGACAGGTCTAATTGAATCTCCCTCGTTTGATGCAAACTTAAGGTTAAATCTTTCTGGCAGCTGGAAGTCTAGCTGTATAGTCCCGCACTGGTGTTTTCTGCCAAGTGCATCTCGCACAGATATATCTATCTTAGGACCATAGAATGCACCATCTCCTGGGTTGATACTCCAGTTCACTCCACTGCTCTCAAGGGCCTGTTTCAGCTGTTCTTCTGCACCGTCCCAAATCTCTGGCCTACCAATATACTTTTCTGGCCGGGTGCTAAGGCACACAGAATACTCAAACCCAAGCAGACTGTATACCTCCTCAAGGAAGTCAAGGCACATCTGTATTTCCTGAGCCACCATATCAGGAGATAAAAATATGTGGGCATCATCCTGCTGGAACCTTCTTACTCTGGTTAGGCCAGTAAGTGCACCAGAAACTTCATTTCTGTGAAGTACTCCAAAGTCTGCCAGACGTAAAGGTAAGTCACGGTATGAACAGCTAAGATGTTTAAATAACAGACAGTGCCCTGGACAGTTCATGGGCTTGAGAGCCATTTCTGTATTATCCGCTTGGAAACAGAACATGTCCTCCTTATACTTCTCTAAGTGCCCGCTTGTCTTCCACAGCTCATTTGTATAAATATTCGGTGTAATTACTTCTTTAAAGTCCTTCTTTTTGTAGTGCTCTCTCATTAAAGTCATCAGGGCGTTATACACAAACGCACCCTTGGGCAGGAAAAAGCAGGATCCAGGACTCATTGGAGAAAAGAAAAACAAATCAAGGTCAGACCCGATCTTCCTGTGGTTGTTCTTCTTGGCCTCCTCCAGGAAAGCCAGATGCTGTGTCATTTCCTCCTTGCTAGGGAAAGATATACCGTATATTCTCTGCAGAACAGGCCTGTTACTGTCCCCTAAGAAAAACGAACTACTGTTGTGCAGTACTTCTATTGCCTTAACTAGCCCTGTGCTGGGGATGTGTGGCCCTAGACAGAAATCAATCAATGGTCCGCATCGGTATACTGTACTCTTGTCCTGTACTTTATCCTGGATTAGCTCCACCTTCAAAGGATTATCAGCGAACATCTCCAGTAACTCACTCTTTGTCATAACAAGCCTTTCAAACCGCTGGTTTTCCTTAAGGATCTTTTTCATTTCTTTTTTCAATGGCTTGTAGTCTTCCGGAGTGACTGCTCGGTCCATATCCATTTCATAGAAGAACCCAGACTCAGTGGGAGGGCCCAGGCATAAGTGGCAGGAGAACGTATTCTCGCATGCCTCACCTAAAATATGTGCAGATGAGTGCCAGAACACTTTCTTTCCATCTTCATCTGCAAATGTCAGAAACTCTACAACAGAGTCCTTCTCTAGCGGCCGGTGCACGTCAAACAGTTCTTGATTTACTCTAGCAACTAATAACTCCTTGTGGTTTGGGTTTAGCTCTTTTGATACAATAAAAGGCGTTGTTTCATAAGACATTCCAGAGTATTCTCCGTGGACTGTTTTTATTTTTATTTTCTCGCTTTCTTTCTTCTCTTGCTGTGCTTTGATTCTGTCAAAGATTTGAACTCTCTTGCTTATGTACTGTGCAAATTCCATATTTTGCAAAAAAAATGAGCAGAAATACTTTACTCAGCTTATACGTTGAGGATGTCCCTGAGGTTTACAAGATGACAGAGTACCAGAAAAGAGTGAAAGAAAGAAAAGAAGTCTACTCGTACATAGAAAGATACAAACAACTTCCTGTATCTGCAATACTAAATAAGAACAATACAAAAGAAGATATAGAGCAGCACTACTGTGCAAAAGTAGCAGCAGCAACGGACGTGCATGAGATGAAAGATTTTATACACGGAGAAGTACAAATATTCCGGCTTAGAATTGATCAAGCCCAGGAAAAAGATGTTCTTAGATTGTTTACCACAGAGTATCTCCCACGCCTTCAGGAGGAGGTTCTGTATACACAAGAAGAAGGTGTTCTAAAAATACAAATCGACAATAATTCTATAAACTGGCTGGGAAAGGTAAATGATGCATCAATTGGCGATAAGATTAACAGAGAAATAGTTCGCTCTAAGAGTGTGCACGTTACAGCGCACTTTACGAAATATGCAGTTATACGCGATAGAATAGAGCTGGGACTAGTCACATCAGGAGTTGATGGTATAAGAAGTATTCTAACCAGAGGGTTTGAGGACCTTCTGAAACATACCACACAAACCATGTACGTATCAGGAGTGCCTAAAGAGTACGCAGTCTCTCTTCCTGTAGCAGCAGTTACACTGATGCAATTACAAACAAAATGTGTTCCGCCGTGTATTTCGGGCATACTGGATAAGTTAAAAGAAAAAAGGCATTTAAAATACGATGACAGGTCAAACCTAAACAATTTCTTAAAGGCCGCAGGAGTTCCCCTTGAGGATGCACTTGCCCTGTACAAAGCCCATTTCAGCTGCACTGTAACAGAATTTGACAGAAAGTATAAGTATAACATACAGCATGCGTATGGGCTGGTGGGTGGCCGTATAAATTATAAGAGTACGCCGTGCAGTAAAGTAATATCTGACGGCAAGAGATCAGAGTGTGTAGGGTGCCCATTATCAAATGGATTAAATCCACAGAAAGAGTGTACAAAATCTTTGGAAAGAATCACTGGGAAGCAAGAGGTACTTATAGCATCTCCTTCTGAGTACTATTTAAGAGTGCTCAGGGCACAGCAGTCAAAAGAGAATTAAATTCGGGTTAATTCGGGTTATATTATTCTAATAAAAATAAAACATTTTGTATTTCTTTGGGTTAATTGTTCCTTTACAGTGGATGATATAAAAATTTAAAAAGATATGTGCTGTCCCGGAATCGAACCGAGCACCTTTCGCGTGTTAGGCGAATGTGATAACCAACTACACCAACAGCACACATTATAAAGATATCACAATATCTACAGAATAAATACTTTACTTGTAAATATAACCCAAATGGTCTTAATAGTAAATAAATATTTCTCATTATAATAAAAATATGTCCATTATTAACAGAATTTAATTTAATGCATTATGTATTAGTACATGCCCTCATCCTCCTCTGATGCTATTTTTATCCAATTCAGTGTTAATTGTTTTGCCATTTGCTTTATTCCCTTCTTCTCGTATGGATTCTTTGAATAGAATAAGATTATCTTCCCTATCCCACTCTCTTTTAAGTGCTCTACTTCTGGTGTAAGGTGCAATAATATATCAAGTACTCCCTTTTTTACATCATCGTGTGGTAATGACATATCAGGAAGTGGTTCAAGCCACTTTTTGAGACAGGAAAGTACTCCAGAGTCAAGTAATTCTTGCTGATTTTTTCGCTTTAATAATCTGTCGTACATTGAGTCCATTATATTTAGCTTATTTAAGGCTGGGTGGCCTTCTTCATTTGATTTTCTGTCATTTTCGTATGCAAGTTCTAAATCTTCAAGTATTTTTTGTATTTCCTTTGGACCACTGTTGTTGGTGGTTTCTGTATCTTCCATGGCAAAGTAAAATTAAGAAAATATTCTTATTACAAGAAATGAATAATAAATACAAAAAGTTAAATCGAAGGAAATAATAAATATAAAGAGAAGGAAGTAATAAATGATAGACTATGCAATAGAAATATAATATAAAAGAAGCAGTATTTTGGTGTTAGTATAAGAGAAATAGTATGAGAGAGTATGTGGTATTAAGGTATATTATGTATATTATATGTTGATGTAAGGTGGTGTAGATGGTATGCATGGTGATGATATTGGGTATTTAATGCTTAATGATGGTTTGGGTGTTCTTGTAATATTTAGGATAAAATATGTATTTATTTTATATCATAGATATTTGATGCTTTAACAGACTGGATATAACTTCTCTTCTCTTTTCCTGTGGGATCAAATGGAGTAAGTATATTGTGTAGTTGCTTCGTATCCATGGGAGGCCTAAAGTTATTCTTATTTCCTTACTTGGGTATAGCATGAACTTCTGTGTGGACTGGCACTGGCTGTATATTGACAGCTGTATAAATGCCTGCGTATACATTGAGGATAGTTCTACTGGGCCTGTTACACTTTGAATGGTTCTTTTGCCCTTTCCATCAAACAGATCTGGCAGGTTTAGTAAACTTTGGGCCGTAGTTGTCATAATGTTTACATCTACTCCTGCGTTTAGCATGAAAAGCACGCTCACTCCATTTATTACGCCTCTCGCATGCGGTATTCCTATGTCTTCATCATTCTGCTGTGCAGGGAAGGTTCCACTTAAAACAGGCCTCTGTGTGCTTGTCCAAGTAATAGACTTCTGCGGCTTACTAAATGTACTCTCTGGAGGTGCCTGCGGCTTTTTTGCTCTGCTGTTCAGTGCATAGCAATCGATTGAATCGTGCGTGTTTATTCTGTGGTGTGTGCAATACATGCCGGTTTCAGTGGGCGGTGTATCCTTTGAGATCGGCTTGCTGGTCTCTGGTATATCATCCTTTATCTCTTGCGTGCTGGTTTCTATCTTAACATACGAATCTTCACTCTCTTGAGTGGGCACTTGGACCTTGCTTATCTGATACTTTAACTCCCGCTCTTTTATAATAGTGGTGGAAATGAAGTTCTCTTTGCAGTCAATGAACTCCATAATTTTGTTCCACCGCATGCCCTGCATGCTCTTCTCATGAATCCATTGCTTTGTTGCCAGACAAAGGCCTGCCTCTATCTGCTGGTGGAGTGTGGTTTTATACATGTTGTTAGGTATTAATTCTATTCTATTTTGGTTGTCTACATTTGCAGTCACTGCCTTGACATAGTCCTTAAAAAACAAAAACTCGTTCTGTCTTATGCCAACAAGATTATGGCATGCAGTGGAAATAGAGGCATGCCTTTTCAATATTTTCAGTGCTCCCTCCAAAGTACTTTTATGGTCGTACAACTTTGTTAGTTTTAAACACGTAACTTGTCTGAGTATAGCAAGGTACTGGCTTACATCTACTTGATGACGCAGTAATGTATTTATGAAGTTCAGCTGCCATATGTCATAATACGCCAATTCATACTCATTCAAACTGGGGAATTCTGTTTTTCTGCTACAATCATCCTCTTCCTCAGCATGCTCTGTTATCCATGAAGCCTCAACCACTTTAAATAAGCTTGGCGTAAATCCCTGAGTTTCACTTTTCTCTGGCATGTCTTTATGAAAATACTTATCTAGTGAATTAACAATATCGCACCTCTCATGAGGAATTGTTTGATAGACTATAAAGTGTTCAAATAAGCTCAGCGCAGGCTGACAAAAGAATCTTTTGTTCTGGTTCTTGCTGTTCGTAAAGTACTCCAGCTGGTCAGATTTTGTGTGCACCATTTTTCTTTTATTCACCATTGAATATATAGCTTAAGATACTCTTTATCAGTGATTGTAATTTATATCTGGAAAATACTATCATATTTAATCTAACACCCCCTGCACATAAAGGGGTATTTTCTATAATTTATTCCTAATCTAATTTTCACATTCTTAGATAGAATAATAAAATAAAATATAAGGCATAAATGCAATAATGTCTTAAATACAGCATTATTACAATAACACATACAAGTGAATAAGAGTAAATATATAATGTTATCAAATAATTCAGAATGAATGGCTGTTTATACTGAAATACGTTTAATGAATGGATTTATTTTGTGGTTTTTAATTAAAGTATTAAATAGATATATTAATAGTATACTAATCCGTATGATAATATATACTATTTATTACTGCTGAATAACTAAATAATTCAAAATGTGTCTACTGCAGGTTGTAAAATTATGCGAGTAATAGTATAAATATTTTATACTTCGGGTTATTTGTTATACCACTGCATACTTTTGGTTATTCTGTAAATTTATGGAGTATGTTGATAATACTGAATTCATGGGTGTAATAGACTGTATTACTTGTATTATTACATAATTATCTACTTCTATGTATAAATAATGTACATTCTTAATATAACTCATAAATTTACAAAATAACCAGAAATATTCAACAGAGAAATAATTTAATTGACTGTTACAGTTTAATAATATGAATAATTCTTGCTGTGTGCACTTAAAATTACTATAGAATAGTTCTTGTGTATTAATATTTAATACATTTTAAGTATTCTTAAGTATTGCATATTCATTCTTATCTGAACATTTTGCTAATTAAACATAATGTATATTGCCCGCAATCCCTTCTAATTGCCAAAGAAAAGCACTTTATACGCTGGGAAGATTTCTTGTAGCCTTGCTTGAATTTTTGTTCCGTGGTCACCTTGCATTTGCATTACTTTTTTGCCTGTTGCTGTTTCTGTTACTATTGTTCCATTACAGCAGAGCTCTCTCTTTAAAGCAGTCATTAGCTTTGTGATGTCAAATGATTCTGGTATGTTTTCAACTGTTGTAAGCCACTTCCTCCCCTTTCTGTTCTGCTTTCTTACATGTATTTCATTGTCTTCAAACTTCGTCTCGTCATCAGAAAATACCATGTCTTCATTGAGGTCGTGCATGCAAAAAAACAAAACTCAAAATAAATACTCATGCTAAGCACTGCTTGGCTTTTTCCATTATTTCCTTTGAAATGTCCTTTGATGTACTGGCTGAATATTCTAGAAGGTCTAAAAATGCCTTTTCTGAGATTGGTTTGGAAATAGACCCATATGATATAATAGTGTCATACTCAACTGCGCCTGTTGCAATTGTAATATACGCCATGTCTGTTCTCTCCTCTGACTCATTCAGATCTACTACATACTCTGCGTGCCTTTCCTGTGACAGGCCTATTGTTACACTAAATACTAAATGCTTAATAGGCACTTTATGCGCTAGTAGAACTAATGATGCACTATTTATAATCGCAGAAAGTAAAGATCCATTATCGCAGAGTACCTTGCATACTATCCTATAACTGTTTTCTTTGTCAAGCAATAAATTGCTGAATATGCTTTCGATTGCTTTTTGTGCTTCCTCCACAAGCCTTTCTATTCTTTTTTTAGAGACACTGCTGGGAAAAGCGTTTTCTTCCATAATAACAGACGCTGTAATTCCCTTTTTAAGCTGGGCTGAATACTCTAGCATTGCATACACTTTAGTCAGACCAAATGAGAAGACAACATTCTTTCCTACTTCCATGGAAATTGATCTATGCTGTGAATTCTTTCTACCATCCTCTCGCTCCATAAAAATTAATCCAGTATGGAAATATTTATCGATTGAATGTGCACCCTTTACAACCAATATAATAAATTGCTTAGACTATAAATAACCCGAAATGTCCCACATTTGAGTAAATTCTTTCTTTGTTCATTTTCTAGTTTATTATTATTTATTTGTGACGGCCCTTTAGCATTGCATTTTATATTGAAGTACCTCTCTTCCATTCTTATTTTCGCAGTAATTATAATTTAAATCTATAAAGGATGGCCGTATACTGAATAATCACATCTACAAAATATTTCGGGTTATTGGTTGGTTTATTTAGGGGTGAAAAATATCTCCAGACGATTTCTGGATATTCACCAGTTAATTGTTCGTTTTATAAGCTATTTTATTTATTATTATAATTTTAGATTATTCAATCTATTCACATAGAAGATTTCTTTTCAACATGGTCTACCCAATCTGCATACACATCTATTGCCTGTGACAGCCGATTTGTTTGACATCTGTGCGTTGCCTCACAAAATGTGCACTTGGCAGTCCCTCTGTTCTTTGCACTCTCTATCACACACACTACTGTGTGCTCTCTGTTACACTCTAAACAAGAAAACCGCTTTTCTGCCCTAGCATTTGGAGCTTTTCTCTTCACTCTTTGTGTTTTTTTTCTGGCCATAAAAACTTCGAATTTTCTGGTTTTTATGGAGAGCTGTTTATTCTGCCGAATTATTAAAGGAGAGCTTGGGAGTGTTATATACGAAACCAGAAGACACGTGGTAATTGCAGATATAAACCCTGTAAGCCTTGGTCATTTGCTAGTTATACCAAAGTACCACTCAGCACAGATGGAGGGACTCCCTGATGAGTATTTAGAGGAGTGCCTGGTCTTAATTAAAAAGATAGTATTACAACTGGGAATACCTAAGTATAACCTTCTACAAAATAATGGCCACATTCAGTCTGTTCACCACGTGCACTACCATATTATACCATACTGTGAAAAGACCCAGGAAGGATTACAAGTTGAGCTTAAGGTGTCCTCCACAGGAAAAGAAAGTCTTCCTACTATAATAGAGAGTTATAAGAAAAAACTGCAAGTTCTGAATAGTAAATAGGTTGAATTATTAGTAGTGATCACTACTTGTAATACAAATAAATCCATTAAATTCGGGTTATTTCTGAGTATTTTTATAATTCTATTTTGAAATTATTTAAAAGTGTAGCATTTAAATTTTTCAAATAATTATTTCTAGTCTTATTTGAGTATAACTTATGAATATATACAAAATAGCTTTATTTAATTTTATTATTAAAGTATCTGTAAAATACAGTAGAATATAATAGTATATGTATATAAAGCAACAAGTAGATTACTTGTATAATACCACAGTAACATAGGAAAATAAACATAATCTGATATGTAATAAATAATGCAGGATAAATTATGTATAACAATATAAGCATAAACAAATGAAGTACAGGAAGAGGAATAAGAACATAAATATTCTTTTTGTGGGTGCATCTAACACGGGAAAGAGTTCACTTATAAACTCCATGGCAAGTGCTGAATTGCTCTCAGAAGGAGACGTTACAGAGCATCAAATATTTATAAATGAGAAGGGAATAAGAATATTTGACACTCGCGGGTATGGCACTGACAGAAGCACAGACACAAAAATCAAGCAGATAGAAATATTCATAAGAGACCGGTATAAGAGTTTTTTACTAGAAGAAACAAAAATTCAAAGGGATCCTTTTTTAGAAGATTCTCGTATACATTTAATGGTTCTATTTGCATCACCAGCCAGTAAGGGTATAAAGGACTATGACATTGTACTACTTAGACTGCTGTCTAATAAAGTGAACACATTAGTAATTATTCCTAAGTGTGATTATTATACAGCCGAAGAAATACAAGTACAAAAAAGAAAAATATCCGATCTATTAAAGCTAAATAACATAAATACATTCGGTGTAGAGGAGGATGAAGATGCGTACGTATTTGCACTGTTCAGTGGGGAGAGGAATCCAGTAGATAGTACGTATAAAGAAAGAATCCTTCCTCATGGGATAGCAGACACTACAAATGAAAAGCATTCTGATTATATTTCATTTATGAATATGTTAGATGAAGCAAGAGAAGATTTGTTGGATTTAACACACACGCACTTCTATGAGAATTACAGGACGGGTATGCTAAGTGATCAATAAACAATACTACCACAGTATAATTAAACATAGCAAAGGTATTTTATATAATTTATACATTATAATGAGAAAAGAGAAAGGTGAGAAATTTATAGAGAATATAAGAACACAAGATGATTTATCCGACATATAATTCAAAATAATTAAGTAGAAGTAGGATGATTCAAAATTCACTTATAGAATAAATATAGAATATAGCTTATTAAAGCACACGAATAAAATATTCTAATTATACTAAATTATATTAAGAGCATTACAATACAAGTTGTTTTCTTAGGAAAAGGCATTCTTAAACTTTGACTTTTATTGAATTTGTATACGTATTTATAGACCGTAAAATCAATTTAAATTATGTTGCCATGCTGTGTAACAATAATTTCTGATCTAGTCTGAGCTGTGTCATGTTTATGTAAAACATTACAATAACTCATGTCATGCTAACAAATGCTATTCTTAGCATACAACAATACATATCACAATAAACCAGGGAGAGGTAGAAACAAGAAATAAGTAGTTAAGATATAACCTGAGCTATTTATATTTAAGCACAAGACATTAATTAATTATAATTGTTGGTTTCTATCATATGAGGAACCATGCCTAATGCAGGAGACTCATGCCCACGCCCGCGAAGTCTTATAGAGCTGTTTAATTGGAAATTAAATCTATATAAGACGAGAATAATAAAAAAATTAAAATGAGTTCATTTAATTTAACCCGAAAAAAGCAACTGAGATTATCCAGTCTTTTATGAATGAATTTCGTTAGTTGGAAGTTTATATAATCTTCAAAAATACCTCACGTTTTTTTAGTAAATAACTAATCTTTTTGGCATATTCGATGTTGTTTTCAATCAAGCTAAGCACAAAGTTTTTTACTCTTGAAGAAAGATGTGCTTTCTTAAACTTAGATATTGCCGCATTAATATTTTCATCTGTATATTCATGTTTAGTTCCTTCAGCTGTGATAAAATCTTCATCAATCACAATTTTATCAAAAAGTAGTGTTATAATACTGTCAAAATTATATGATCGAAAAAACATGTTAAGCCAAACCAACCACATATCATTGGCTTTTATGACGGTTTCATATTCTGGAAGTTTTCTGTCTATGCTATTTAAAAATGCTTCAATTTCTAATAATGGTTCTATAGACGTACCCTGATGTGTTAGTATAGAAAGATGATTAATGGCATATTCTCCTCTAATTCGGAATGCCATAGCTGCAAAAAAGCAATTTCTATCGCCTTTTGTTACTAAATATGCCTTTAAAATCTCTAAATGCCCGCAGAGTAAGTTGCTTTTATGTATATACCCCGCATAGCAATCAGATGCTTCCTTTAAAATAATATGCTTATCAACTATTGTTAGGGCTATATTGACTTTTGTACAGAAACTTTTGTATAGCCCCGCTCTATATAATGGATTGAAGAAAACGGTTTGCACTGTATTTAAGTCTTCTAATGGAAGACTTCCTATCATATTAGACAGAAATCGTGACCATGGATCAGTTTCTTCTAATGAATACCCAAAGAGACACCCCCTAATATAATATATCATGCCCATTCTATATTCAGCGCTTTTAAATGTGTTATACAGAAAAAGCTTTTCTATTGGGTAGAAATAGTTGTTTTCTCGTGATATCTTTATATTTTCTTTATAATAATTACCTATGGGGTTGTTACCCTCCATTAATTTGTCTACAAAGTGCATAAGTAGGAAATCAGTTAGAGTTTGTTTGGGCTCTTTCTCAACACTGCTAGTTTTATCAATTATTTCCTTCTTTTTTTCATTTGTTAAAGTATTAATTCTACTAGGGAAAGATTTGGTCTGTACATGCTTAATAGTATGGTTCAATTTTATTCCTCCTTCTAAATTTAAATAACTATATGTTATAACTACTTCTCCAAATAATTCTGTTTGCCCATTAAGATTTGGGCATTTTGACATATTTAAAATATCTATCTTTATTTCTCTGCTTGGTAATTCTGAGTCTTCTTCTGCAGTATATTTCTTAGAGAGTGATAAAATCAATTCTTCTGTGTATAACTTTACTTTTGTGAATAATTCACTCTGATTTTCATTACCTCCTTCTTCTAGGCGAGCGCAGAATTCTTTAAGAGATTCTTCTTCTTTAGAATACCTCCCTGTTATTTCAGTAATAACATATAGCATATTTATTATACCTGATACAAGCTCATTTCTATCTTCTTTCAGATACTTAATATTCTCATTCTCTAGATCAGCCACTACTTTATTCCATTCCTTATGAATATCATATGTATCAGTCTCAAATGGTTTATTATATATAGTAAAGAATCTCTTCAAGTCTGGCGACACTTCTCCCATGTGTTCAGTGGTGTATTCTTTAGTCTCTGCATCATATGCTAAACAACAAAACAGGCCTAGTAATCCCGCCTCAACACAATTGCTGTATCCTTTACCAACATTAAAGGAGTCTTTTTTTCTATTGTATGATAGGATGGCTCTATAGCCTGGTATACTTACATCACCCGCAAATGGAAATACATTTAATAGAGGGGACTCTTTATATATTGTAGTCAATATGTCTATTCTATGCTTTGATTTAATTGTATTAGTAACACTAAATTTAACAAAGCACTTATCAATAATACTTTTCAGATATTCTACTTCTACATTTGATCCTTCCTTCTCTTTTTGTTTTATACTTTCCTTAAGCATAGAGTGCACAGCCTTTGCTAACTCAATTATACTACTCTCACTGTCCAAGTACTCGAATATATAATACTGTATTAACCATCTTGCATTCTTTAAAAACTTTCCTGTGTTAAACTCTTCATATGTTCTTGGCTCTGCATATTTGCCCCCTTCCCGAATATCTGGATTCATTTTGTTCTCTATAAAGAAATTTATAACATCAGCTGCTCTTTTTTGTGGTACTGCTTTTGTCGCCCCTTTGCTATTTTCATTCTTTCTACTGCCTAGATCGTCTTTCATACTTAGAGAGAATATATTTTTTTCCTCTTCACACTCTTTCAAGTCTTCTGTTTTGTTTTTTTGCTTAGATTTTGCTATAATCTCTTTCAATACCAATATCGGACTGCTTTTACTACCTTCTACTTTCAGTGGTATATCCACTCCCTCTGCTAATAAAAATAAAAAAGCTAAAATATGATTTTTATGCTTACTTACATGCTCAAACTGAAGAAATTTAATAAACGAATCAGCTCTAGAAGTATGTATTGATAAAAACCCAGTTGAAGAAGGAAACATCTCTATCAATGTTTGGTGATAGTCTTTAAGATACGCTGTTCTTTTCTTCTTTTCTTTATTTTCTTCTATGGGAGTTGCCTCGGCGGTCTCTACTGTTTCTTCAACAGAAGATTTTATATATGGCGCATCCTTATTATAGTCTCTTGTTGACTCTATTTTTAAATTCTCTTCATTCTCTTCATCATCTATAACAATTATACTGTAATGTGCGTCTGTTCCCGGTGACAAAAACCGCATTGAATACATTAAATTCAACTTCTCACAAATAAATTTCCGTATAGGCGATAGTGGCCCATTTATGCGTATACACAGGCCATCTCCGATTTCTTTGTTATGTAAATCCTCATATGTACTTATCCCTACTCTACAGCATATCCTACATAAAGTAATTATTCCAATAATTATAATAAATTCTTTCCTTATAAGCATATCTTTATTATTAAAAGTAGAAAATATTTAAATATTCTTAAAATGAATCTGTAAATAAATTGTTGCCAACAAATTAAACTAATATAGAATTTTATTAAACTAGTAGTTGATTATTCCCTTGTACATTATTAAGACACATTCAAATTTTTTATTATTCCCGTCTTATATAGCTTCAATTTCCAATTATAACAGCATTATAAGACTTCGAAAACGCGAGTGTGAAGCCTTCACACTAGGCATGGTTCCTCATATGATAAAAATCAACACTAATTATTAATATATAGCCCCTTAGCAACATATTCTTTAGAGTATTAATATTGTTTTATCTATAATAAATCGTGCTTATATTATGTATACTAACCAGAAATAACCCGAAATTCTGTTAACCATCTATCCAATGCATAGTCATCTTTAGGATGAAATTAGCTCTGTTAAGACAATAAAGCAGTTAACTAATGAATAATGTTTTATGGGCTTGCTAATATTTGTATGGGAATCATTTGTGATGCTGTTCTAAAATTGGCCGAGCCAGAGCTTTTAATAAACTATGTAATACTTATTGAGTCTTAACAAATACCAGATTTCACTTATACCATACAAGAATTTGCACTTAAGAATATAAAGAAAACAGTATATTCATAATACGGAATTTATCTATTTTTCAACTCATATTATTATATGCTAAGCCTAGATAATACGAATATATACATATCGTGTACATGGATTGGACTAAATTACAATATAACTTAAATTAGAAAATAGCATAATCATAAGTGTAGTTATACCTCCTAAAGGGATAATTTATTTAGAGATGTAGATATAAATCAAGATTTAAATAAATGCTAAATTTTAGGATTTTTTTGCCCAACAAAGCGGTTATGACTTGCTATTGCATAATAAAACTTTTTTCGGGTTTCGGGCGACTTATTTATAAGATCCTTCAGAAATATTTCTATTTTTTTACTATCATTTAAATCCGAAAAATCAAACCTTTGTCTGACTGTCCGACCTGTCTTTTCGTCTTCTTCACTGTTAAATTTATCAAAGATTGGTTCTATGATATTAATGAATATATCTGATTCAAAACACATTTTAAACCAAACACTCCACATATCATTAGATGTTAAAGTATTTGTATATCTAGGATCATTTCTATCCAAGTTATCTATAAATTCTGCAATTTCTGATAGATAAGTTATATTTTCACCACCACATGTCAATAAAGAGAGTAATTTTATCGAATAATCTGTGAGAAGACTATTCTCTAAACGTAATAAATAATTTCCTATTTCACCACCCATGCTTATGTATGTCTTTAAAAATTGTAGGATTCTTTTAAGAGATTCACAATATAATACATGAACATGCTCCCCATACATGTATCTATAAGTATAATGTTTATCAAGTACTTCTGCGGGTGTAGTTATTTTTTTATAGCGATGATTATATAACTCTTTTTTAAAGAGTGGATTGTAAAGAATATGATTTATCACATTATAGTCATTTAACGGAAGGCTTCCTAATAGATTAGAAATAAGTCGTGCCCATGGGCCGGTGTCTTCAAATGGATAATCTACAAGGCACTCTCTAATATAATGTATCATAAACATTGTATGTTCTATCACTCTAAATTTATTATACAAGAAAAGTTTCTCTATTGGGTATAAATAATTATTTTCTTCTGATATATTTATATTTTCTGGATGCAATTTTCTGAAGGATATGACTGGTTCAACTATTTTAGTATCCTGAGGGCGTTCTATGCAACGTGCAATCAGATAATCTGTTAAAGTAGTGTTTTTCTCTCCTTCAGCACATAATGATATATTATTTATGTGTGTCTGGTTTAGAGTAATTAAATCCAAGCAGCTTTTGCTATAGAAGACTTTAATGGATAAATGCATATTTGAGTGTTCTAATATTATCTCTCCTTCCAACTCAGAAACACTGTATGTTATACTTATTTTTCCAAATATATCAGGATGTTCAATAATACTTTCTTTTATAGACATATTTGAAGTATCTATTTTTATTGTTCTTTCCACTTCCTTCGAATCCTTTTTTGAATTGCATTTCTTAGAAAGTGATATAAATAACTCTGTTATATATGATTTTATATCATTGAATAGCTTACTTTGATTTTCATCAAAATTATTATCTTTGCATTCATGCCCTTCTAGGCGAGTGTAGAATTCTTTAATAGTCTCTTTGTCTTTAGAATACCTCCCCGTTATTTCAGTAATAACATATAACATGTTTATTATACCTGATACAAGCTCATTCCTATTCTCTTTCAGATATTTAATATTTTCATTCTCTAGGTCAGCCACCACTTTATTCCACTCATTATATATAGTATAATCAGCTGTTTCAAATGGTTTATTATATATGGTAAAGAACTTCTTCAAGTCTGACGATACTTCTCCCATATGAACAGTCGTGTATTCTTTAGTCTCTGCATCATATGCTAAGCAACAGAATAAACCTAGTAATCCAGCCTCAACACAATTGCTGTATGTTTCAATAAAACTATTTTCATTTTTGTTCCTATTATACGATGAAATAGACCTATAACTCGGTATATTTATGCAGCCAGAAAATGGAAATGCATTGTCTAAAAATGTCTTTCCATACATTAAATTCAATGCATGCATTCTCTTATCACTGGCTGCATTATTGGTGTATTTTACAAAGCACTTATCAATAATACTTTTCAGATATTCTACTTCTACATTTGATCCTTCCTTCTCTTTTTGTTTTATACTTTCCTTAAGCATAGAATACACCGCCTTTGCTAACTCAATTATACTACTCTCACTGCCCAAGTACTCGAATATATAATACTGTATTAACCACCTTGCATTCTTTAAAAACTTACCAGTTTTAAAGTCTTCATGTGTTCTTGGCTCTGCATATTTGCCTCCTTCTCTTATATCTGGATTCGTTTTGTTCTCTATAAAGAAGTTTATAACACTAACTGCTTCTCTTTGCTTAACTTCAATAGGTTTTACTATACCACTAGGCTGCTTTATATTGCACATATCAATCATGCTTAGAGAGAACATGTCTTCTTTAGTGCCAATCTTCTTTAGAACTAACACTTTCTCTGATCGAGTGCCTTCTATTTTTAGTGGCACGTCTACTCCTTCTGCCAATAAAAACAGAGAGGCTAAAATATTAATTCTGTGCACAAGCACATGTTTACTTTGAATGAATCTCATGAATGAGTTATTTCTATTTGTGTATATGGATAGATCACCAAATGTGGAAGGAAATAAGTATACTAATGTTTGGTGATAGTCGCTAACATAAAGTTGGTCTTTCTCTTCTTCACTAAGTGATTCCATTTTATATTTCTTCTTTTTAATAAGATGTTTTATCTTATATGCTTTATCCTTATTAAAGTATCTACTAAAAGATGGTACTAGATCATTAGGAAAAGTGCCAACGGTCGATAGAATATAATTTATATCCATTCCAGGTGACAAAAATCGCATTGAATGCATTAAATCGCACTTCTCAGAAGCAAATGTACGTGCTGGAAATAGTGGCCCATTTGTACGTATACACAGACCATCTCCGATTTCTTTGTTATGTAAATCTTCATAAACATTCAATCCTACTCTACAGTACATTCTACATAAAGTAATTATTCCAATAATAAGTCCCTTTCTTATAAGCATATTCTTAATGTAAGCCATAAATAATATTTTATTTTTAACAATTCTATACATAACAATTATATATTATTTATATTCTGTAGAGTATTAATATTATTTTATCTATAATAAATCGTGCTTATATTACGTATAATAACCAGAAATATTTAAATTTTTGTTAATCATTTATCCAATACATAGTCATCTTTAGGATGAAATTAGCTCTGCTAAGACAATAAAGCAGTTAACTAATGAATAATGTTTTATGGGCTTGCTAATATTTGTATGGGGATCATTTGTGATGCTGTTCTAAAATTGGCCGAGCCAGAGCTTTTAATAAACTATGTAATACTTATTGAGTCTTAACAAATGCCAGATTTTACTTATACCATACAAGAATTTGCACTTAAGAATATAAAGAAAACAACTGTTTCAATTAAAGAAAATATTTAACATACACACGAAGAATAACGCTAACGCTACCCTGCTACGTAGCCAAGATAGAAAAGAGAATGAAAAGAGAGAGCTCTTTATTATATTTAGGAAGCGGTCTAATCCTGTGTAGGCTCGGAGTCCTAAGGGCGCGATTGTGCTAGACAAAGCGCTGAAATAAGCCATCAATGCTTCCCTGAGTCTTTCCTAAATTGGGGGAACCGCTTAAGTTAAATAATCGAAAGGGGATCTACGGATTTGCGATTCCGACCTTTTGTTTTAGCAAGATCATCGCGCGAGCTGGCGCACTGGCGTATCGCCATTGGAGCCCATACCTGAGTGGTGGTGTCACCACACTAATATTATTTCTACTTTCCTTGGTTGTATTATTTAGAGTACTATAAGAAAACTTTCATTAGAGTATATTAATAATGGTTCATAGCACAGCATAATAAAACTTTTCTCGGGTTTCCGGTGACTTATTTATAAGATCTCTCAGAAAATTTGCTATTTTTTTACTATCCCTTAAATCCGAAAAATTAAATCGCTTTATAAACTCAATATGTATGTTTTCTTCTTCACTATTAATTTTATCAAAGATTGATTTTATGATTGAAATGAATATATCCGAATTAAAAGCCATTCTAAACCAAAGAGCCCACATATCATTAGATGTTAAAGTATTTGTATATCTAGGATCATTTCTATCCAAATTATCTATAAATTCTGCAATTTCTAATAGATAAGTTATATTTTCACCACCGCATGTCAATAAAGAGAGTAATCTTATTTGATTCTTTTCCAAAAGATTTGCCTGTAAAAACAATAAATAATTTCCTATTTCATCACCCATGCTTATGTATGCCTTTAAAATTTGTAGGATTCTTTTAAGAGAGTTACAGTATATTAAATGATAATGAATGCCATACATAATTATATACTTATAATAAACATTATCTATCTCACTGGGAGCGGTTATTTTTTGAAAACAATTTTTGTATAGCCCCCCTTTATACAATGGACTGAAAAGAATATTAAATATTATATTATAGTCATTTAACGGAAGGCTTCCTAATAGATTAGAAATAAGTCGTGCCCAAGGACTATTTTCTTCAAATGGATGTCCTATGAGACATTCTCTAATATAATGGACCATAAATGCTGTATTCCCCGCTTTTTTAAATTTATTGTACAAGAAAAGCTTCTCTATTGGATATAAATAATTATTTTCTTCTGATATATTTATATTTTCTGGATGCAATTTTTTGAAGCGTCTTTCGAGTATTTTATTGTCCTGTGGGTGTTTTATACAACGTACAATCAGATAATCCGTTAAAGTATTGTTTTTCTCTCCTTCAGTACATAAAGATGTATTATTTATATATGTCTGGTTTAGGTTAATTAAATTCAAGCTGTTTTCATTATAGAAGGTTTTAATAGATAAATGAATGTTTGAATTTTCTATCGTTATTCCTCCTTCAAACTCAGAAACACTGTATGTTATATTTATGCTTCCAAATATATCAGGGTGTTTAATAATACTTTCTTTTATAGACATATTTGAAGTGTCTATTTTTATTGTTCTTTTCACTATCTTCGAATCTTTATCCAGGCTGTATTTCGTAGAAAGTGATATAAATAACTCGCTTATATATGATTTTATATCATTGAATAGCTTACTTTGATTTTCATACATTTCTAGGCGAGCGCAGAATTCTTTAAGAGATTCTTCTTCTTTAGAATATCTCCCTGTTATTTCAGTAATAACATATAGCATATTTATTATACCTGATACAAGCTCATTCCTATCTTCTTTCAGATATTTAATATTCTCATTCTCTAGATCAGCCACTACTTTATTCCATTCCTTATGAATATCATAAGTATCAGTCTCAAATGGTTTATTATATATAGTAAAGAATCTCTTCAAGTCTGGCGATACTTCTCCCATGTGTTCAGTCGTGTATTCTTTAGTCTCTGCATCATATGCTAAGCAACAAAACAGGCCTAGTAATCCCGCCTCAACACAATTGCTGTATCCTTTGCCAACATTAAAGGAGTCTTTTTTTCTATTGTATGATAGGATGGCTCTATAGCCTGGTATATCTATGCTGCCAGAAAATGGAAATGCATTATCTAAAATTGCATTGCCATACACCGCATTCAATACATGTATTCCATTATCATTAGTTATATTATCATTAGACTTCACAAAGCACTTATCAATAATACTTTTCAGATATTCTACTTCTACATTTAGTTTCTCCTTCTCTTTTTGTTTTATACTGTCCTTAAGCATAGAATACACCACCTTTGCTAACTCAATTATACTACTCTCACTGTCCAAGTACTCAAATATATAATACTGTATTAACCACCTTGCATTCTTTAAAAACTTACCAGTTTTAAAGTCTTCATGTGTTCTTGGCTCTGCATATTTGCCTCCTTCTCTTATATCTGGATTCGTTTTGTTCTCTATAAAGAAGTTTATAACACTAACTGCTGCTTTTTGCTTAACATTAGTAGGTTTTACTATACCACTAGGCTGCTTTATATTGCATATAACACTCATGCTTAGAGAAAACATGTTTTCTTTAGTGCCAATCTTCTTTAGAACTAACACTTTCTCTGATCCAGTGCCTTCTATTTTTAGTGGCACGTCCACTCCTTCTGCCAATAAAAACAGAGAGGCTAAAATATTAATTCTG